AAAAAACAGCTTAAAAAGTTCAATTTTACGTGTGTATAAAAACCATTCGCACTTGATTATGTATTAATAACGTTTTGTAAAATTTAATTTGACGAATCGTCACAATCTTCGCAGTTATTGGGGTACTTTTCTGTCTATTGAATCGTATTTTACATAAAAAAAGGAAGCTTAGAAAACTGGCGAATAGTCCCTTACATAAAATATCCTTTTTCGCTAGCAATACGACGATTTCGACATTTAAGGTTTGAAAATCCGAATATTTTTAAAGTACTAAACTATTTCTCACTAAAGTATTAAACCTACTTCATATATAATAAGTCTGAAATTTTGCGCTAAAGATCTGACGAAATAGAAGCGAGAACACCAAGAGCGTACTAATGATATATATCGTAAAAGCCTTCTATAGGCAAAAATTTTTTTAATAATAATCATATATATATTTCGTTCCTTGCAGTTATGCTAGAAGCAGGAGCTAAGGATGTTTATATGCAAGACTTCATGAAGGCGGTGAAGGTCGGAATGAAGGAAGTAACCCAAATTGTTTTGCCATTGAAGAAGTTTGTTGAACGACATGGTAAACCCAAACGGGTCATTGAAGAACAGTGTCTGCCATCAGAGGAAATGATCGAGACGGCAAGAAGTGAAGTGCTCGAAAGAGTCACTGATATTATGATGGATTGGAACCACGATAAGGTTTCCAGAGACAAAGCCATCTCTGTGGTTCGGGATGAGGCTCTGCAGAAATTAACGGTAAGGGGATAAGTGGCGAATCGTATAAAGAATCAGGGTCGGATAGCTATGGATTGCATACTAGTCAGTTTCAAGACATTTCTTTATTTTTTTTTCTGAATGGCTATTTCAAAAGTATCGTGGATCTAAAAAGCGAAAAGCAAAATATCGAGAAACAAATCAATTTAGAATGCGGTTAACTTTGCTTAATTCGGTACACATTTTTCACATTTCAGAATTTTACATTTTCTTAACTTTGTCTGAATTCCTTCTTTTATTATTTCGAAATACACATCAATGTTAAAGTATGGATTCTCACTAGAAAATAAAGAAGGAAAACTGGGTTAAATTTTGGTTAACTTTCCATAGGATTGCATAATTTCCTGGATACCCTGTAGATTTTCCTTTGGTACTTTGATACTTTGATTTGATTTTATGAAGTAACAATACGAAAATAAAATACAAATGCTTTTTTATTAAAAACAAGAGGAATTAATTGCTAAATTACGTTGATAATTCAGAATCAAGCCCAAAGTTGTCGGTTACCTCAACGTATGCAGGTGACAATTCAACGGGTAGGAAATTCGACTGTTTTGTAGCCTTTTGGCCAAATTTAAAAAAATGTTCAAAATGCTTTTACCTAATTCTAATAACCGTTTTTATTCTCCAGTGTATCTGATGATTTTTAAAGCGTGAGATAATTTCTGCAAGGAAATATATCTTGGAGGAGACAGGTCTAGGATAAAAATATCAAAAAAGCGGAGCGTGCTACTAGGGGCTCCTAACGGAGAGAATGCAGAACAGTTGAAAGTCTCTCTACCAAAGCACGTTCTATTTGTTAGTGACCGTAAATCTAGTTTAACATACGGCTAGCAAAAACTACCCTCTCTAACCTTTAACTAAGTAACTTGCGGTTTCCCATATTAAACATGTCCGAAAGCTTAAAATAACTACTATTCAAGTGATTTTTTTCTATAGAAACATGGATTATTTTCGGCACATATTTGCAACTAGTGTACTAGTAGATCTTAAAAGTATAAATGTATAAAGACTTAGCTGTCACTCATCAGAACACCTCTCGTGAAAGGGAAACTAATCTTTTTTCTAAGCTAATAGAAACCATCGATTTCTACACCACAAAATGATAATCTTCTATTGTTCATTTTAATTTGGATAGCGATGTAACTAATCACAGTTTAAAGAACTTCTTAAGATTTTTAAGATGATTCTAAACGATTTCAATAATGTACAGGCAATTCAACAATTCAAGTTTAAAATATGGGTGTTACTCTCTCTGAAGCACAATTCCGTAGATAGGAGTTTCAGAACGCAAAACGTTTGTTTATTTTATTCAAAATAAAAATTTGTATTCGAATTAATTAGGTATAGTTTCCAAACGATGATGCTTTTTGTGGTATAGTAACACACGAACCGAGTAATTGTATTCCATCCATATACATTAAGGAAAATGGACAATCAATTCAAAGACACAATGTTTTTTACCAAAATCAAGAAGATGTTTCGTTTGTAAGTGTTCAAGTTTTCTCGATTTGTCGTTAGCAATATTATTTTTTTCTAAGGGATAAGAGTTATCAGAATTGCTCTGCTTATTTATATAAATAGAATATCCAACGATTTAGAAATATCCATCTCTATTTTGCAATAGGGCACTACTACTAGAATCCTCCCTTTTCGCTGAAAGATAACAGATCTTGGCACGTCTGGGAGTTAGATATGAGATGAGTAGATTGATAGGATTCTCGACCTTTCTGTGGGGCTTAACGAACTACTTATAGACTATTTTTTTCTCACAGAAGAGAGACTATGCGATGAGCACACAAACAAAAGCTCTAAATGAATCCTTTCTTGACTGTGTAATACTATGTGACATACTTGAAAAGTAACCTTACGTTATCGTATAAGAGTAATTCGTAAAAGACCACTAAATTGTTGTCAAGTCACCTTTTTTATTTTTAAATATTAATTTCTTTAGAAGTTTTTGAAATCGCTTTTGCTACTCCCGCCTAAAAGCAATGCTCAATTAATGAACTGGAAAATATTGACTATTACGTGAAATAATTAGTAACTTATTTACTAGTGTTCTTTTGCTAATCAGCTTTCCTTGGAAGAGACGTTTATTGCCCTATCATATTTTGTAGCCGTAGATGAATAAAAATTTAATATAGAGGGGAGGCATACAACAGCAGAACTACGCTTTCCTCAAATTGTTTTTTGAAACTAATTCGATATTTATTTAGTTACCACTTTTTCGAAATTATGCTTTCGACGGTCAACCTGTACTGTAATAATTTGCCCACATGATAAAATAATCGGGCGTCTTCAAACTGAGTACAGGGGAACCCGCTTTGACCGTCAGTTTTCTGCATCCGGGTAGCCCTCACGCGATACGAATAACGCTTACTGTTCGTTATAACTGTTATAATCTTTTAGAATGAAGGAGAATAACAGAACGAATATTTAGAGCACTTTTTTTCTTTACCTGCAGAGCATATTTATTTCCAAAATGCGAAGTTGTACTCGGGACGAGCATTTTATCTACTGAACTACTGAAAGTCTGAGACAGCGGGTTTCTAAGATTCAAATCGACCTTTCAACGTAGACGGATTAGACTGATTTTTTATGGTCGGAGGCTTCCAACCTTGGAACGAGCAGTGCAGAAGATGGAGCCAATTAGACAAATATATTTGCCTCTACAGGGAAACTTTCTATTAAGCATAATAGAAATCTACTGTATTGATCTAAATAGCTTCGCTGACAAACGTAGAAGGTTTGTTATTGATAGCAAGCTGTACCACACGGCAATGCCTTTCAGACACCTGACCCGAAGAGTGAAATCTGTGCTCCATTTGTGTTGTATGACCATTGGTTTTCAATGTCTACTGTTAACCAAGCTGTTAGGCCCAACGTTGAGCAACATAAAAAATTTATCATTGAAAACAACCATATCTATATGTTATATGACTATAATTTTCTGTCCGTGGGCCCGAATTGTGTGCAGTGAGACTTGTGTTGTGCCCGATTTGTGAAACCTTAATAGTTGTTATGAATTTATGCCAACACGAAACGAAGCACAAGAAAATCAACTTACAACGAGAACACATCGAGTGTTTTGCACCAAGAATACTAAAGTCCACTTCCCTCAGACACATTAGTAGTTATAGGTCCTTTTTTAGGTAGGTTACAGTATGTGCTTCAGAATTACTACAAATCTGTGCTTACTTTAATATTCTGTTTATTTAGGTAAAAGACTCACATTGTGATTCACTCAATAGCAGCACAGGCGCGAGATAGGGCCCACGGATCTTTTTTCTGTGTCTATTTTTTGGTGTGTTTTTCCGACGTAAGGCAATCCCGTAGAATGGTCGAATCGGACTGATTTTTTTCAGAATCGAAGAGTTTCATCCCATGAAAATCTGCAAGTAGGATAAAACGGCTTGGGCAGATAGCTTTTTTTGTAAGGAAGTTTCTCTTTTCCATGAAGCTAATTTGGACAAACTGGCAATTTTCTGCGAACTTCTCGGTAACCATCTTGAAAAATGATTTGTTTCCTCAAGTTTTACCAAGTGGGTGCGACATCGGACTACAAAAGAACCGATTTTTTACTGTTATGCAACTTCCTAAATGGTTCATAATCGATGAAATATGAATTATTTCAGTTATGTCAGTCTAAATATGCTGCTACTCTTCTTCGGGTACTGACAGGTTTTCCCCATGGAGAGACAAAATGCTGTTTTAATTATTGTGCGAAATCATTGATGAAATCTCTTATACACGTCTGTGACAAAGTTTTAGGGACTAAAGAAGGCTATATTTTAATGAAATGTTTATCGAAATATTTTTCTGAAAAAATAGCAGCCTTGAAGATCTACGTAAGGGAATTCCTTGTCAAGAGGCTTAAACTATCTAAATGCTATACATGTTCCTGTGCCTAAACTTCATTTCATTCAAAAGAAGACACCACTTGAAAGGTGGAAATTTAACCTAATGTTTTGTATGAAAAAGGAATTTCGTGACGTGAATTGATAAATCTCGACAAAAATAAAAGATAAAACCATCATGAAATATTTTCATCTAGTTTAATATGTGCAGTTACTTAGTTATAAAAGTAAATAACTGCACATATTTTTTTTACATGTATGTATATATTATGTTATAAAAAAAAATTTGTGATGTTCCAGAAACAGAATCAATAGGTCAGTCGTATTTATCAATCGCAACGTCTACTAAAAGTCGGCTACTTAATTCATGTACGCCCTTCAGACGTCGGCCGATGATTAACCCCATCCATGTTTGCCCCAGAAACAATCAGCCAGCGCTAGAAAAGTCCCATGATTAAATATAGATATCATAAAATAAGCAAGACAAATCTTTAGTCGGCTGAGCCCCCTGACGAATAAGCTGATGAAGTAACTGCGAGAGAGTGACGGACTAAATTAAACAGGGTAAACTGAACGATCTGAATAACTGTATCAACATCCATTCGTTTCCGCATCGTTAGTCTAAGTTTCCAGAAGCGCAGAGCAATCTTTTGGTGGACGCTATCAATGGAATCGTAAAAGACGCGTTTCGTCGTCTCGTCTTGGAAAAGGAAGAGCGTATGGACGGGCGAAGGCTTACCGATATTCGTCCAATTTTCTGTGACGTGAACCTTCTACAACCATTACACGGGTCGGCCTTATTTCAGAGAGGCCAAACTCAGGTTATGTGCACTGTAACGTTCGATTCACCTGATAGTGCATTACGGATGAGGGATCCTGTCTCACAGCTCCTTGAGTGCGTATTTAGATAATATATAATATATAAAAAGCGTTTCAAGAGCTCGAAAATGATCTTGTTCATGACAGTCGTTCATCAATCAAATAGACTTGCAGGCAGTGCTTAACATAACATATCTTTATATTTAGGTCATTGCATCTTAATTGAGACTTTTCCTTGCGCTTCATTTCTAATACTGTATGTAATAAAAAAGATTCATTTCAATGATTTTTTTGCATGTGATAAATGTGCCACTTTTGACGGTCATGATTATTTAATATAATTACCGCCTACCGCAATGAAAGCTTTTGCTTGGGAGCTACGTCACTCACTAGTCATTTTCAAAATATTTCTTCCTTAAACCGCAATTTACTTTTGAGTTAAGCGACATTGGTGTAAATTCGTTGTGGTGTCGCTAGAATATGCTATATAGAAAAAATTATTGGGCAGGATTGAACTGTGAACTGATAGCAAGATAAATACTTCCAAAAAACGAAAATATAAAACGACCAAAAATTTGAAAAGGTGTGAAAAAACGCAGAGATACTAGCAGTCGGATATTATCTGAATAACCTAATTAATAACTGATATTGTCCTTCCCAGAGTGGCCATTAATTTCGGTATAAAACGTATAGGTGTATCAAAAAGGGCGTTTCGAGCGGTTCAAATTTAAAAAATGTAAAAAAAATGAAATTGCCTTATGGGAATCACATGGAATTAGCTCTTATGGATTTTGCAGAAGCCGCATGAAAATTAGCAGGAGTATATTGTATCTTTCAAGTTCTTAAGCTGACGCTCTTCTGAGCACAGAGGGATTGTAATAGTTATTTTTCGCTCAAATTTTGAAAACAGGCGCTGTTTTTCACCATGACGAATTTGTTTTTTGACCTAGAAAGAACTGGTTTTTTTTTCTGGTACTAGAAATAGCGGATTAACGTATATTCGCTACAGCTAAGCCCGTCGAAGTTTTTGTCAATTCAAATTTCGTACCCTTTGCATGTACATATCTAGCATCCACTCCTTACCCATATTATTTTTACCACGCCACGTTTAATTTTTTACATTTTGAAATCCTTAGCGCTTTTTTAACTAAATTAAATGGCACAACCCACAATCGTTTTTGTTAGATTTGTTGAAAAACTTTCTATTGCGTTATACATTTCTAAGCTTTCCAGATAGATTTTCCATAGTGCATTTCAAATCCTTAGTTAGCCAAACCAAGGAGACGTTTATATATATGTTGAAAAATGAAAGAGATACTTTTTGGGCAAGCGCCAAAACATTTGTTGCACATTTTTTTTTAACTGACTGGCATAATACCAAATTGCATTTTTTCTGTCATGTTTAGCTGACCTAAAAACTTACAAACGAACTCTTAAGTTACCGGTGTATGTCCGACTCATTACACAAAATATGTAATTTGGCTTTATTTATTTTTGCCTGTTTTTGGATCGGATGGTTCCTTAATACTGTGAGGCTTTTTAGAGGACTCCTGTAGTTAGTTGCTATCAATCGTGCCTCCAGGAATACCACCTGTCTCAAGAACAGCTATTACTTTATTAAAGTGAACTTTAGTTCCGTATTTCTAGGGCTTTTGAAGGCGCAGGATAAATGTTGATGATGACCTGTTCGATTTTCGAAAGGGGCAGTATGTTCTGCAGGTGGAGAGCACTTGATCTGTTATTTTTTCTGATAAAGTTTTGTATTCAAACATATTTATGTTGTCATAAAATGTTACAAAAGGCATGGTGATTGCAGAAAAGATTTGTTCTTTGCGTCAATGGCTGCTGTTGAAACTCTGCGAGAAGAATGACTGTAGAGGACACATTACAACCTGCTGCTTGTGGTGATGCTGTGAGCTTTCAGCCGTCTGCCCTATTCTTCTCTAAATCCTGCTTTGTTGTTGACATCTAATATGATTTAAGTCGATCCTAAATAGTAATATGGAGTCGAAAAGAAATCTAGAAAAATTTCACTTAGAATCCGCTTTTTACTGCAGTAATTTGCATATTTTCTGCTACTTTGGCGGTCGTAAAATGAGAATTAAAACTGATCAATCATACAAATCCACAGGTTAAGAGTCTACACTAGACTGACCCAAGGGCCTTACCACCCTCAATGATCCACTTTTTGGTGGTTATATCTCTGGAAGATACTACGTGAATCTAAATTATTACACGGAGTTTAGTCATATTTTCATTTAATTCACCTGGGTTCTTTATATACGCTATCCTTGCAGATTATAGTTTGCCCCAAGGTATTCACCACGACAGTGTGGGATTTCTTTTAATATGCGTTTTCTAATTGCATTACCTGCCATATTCACATCTTTACTCGTTACTGATTGCGCATCAATACTAGCTTTATTTCTACTTAGACTACAGAGGACTACCTTTCTTTCAACGCAGATCCCGGGAAGATTTTGCCGTCTGCCTGTATCTGATCCGCTTCTGCTCTTGAATGTATTCTTAATCTTCGCCACATATGCAGACATAGCTGTCCAGTTCTCTTTGCCTTGAATAGTTCACTCTGGCCCTGATTCAAAATGGTCGCTCTAGATTTAACTTCTGTTTTTTTGTTTATCGAGTAATGTACAGTGTTCTAGTATGTAACTCATATGGGAGCACACACTGCATTGCGCATGCGTGTGACGCATGAGTCATTTGACGTCTCCACTATTCTATGAAGATACGCTTTGAAACACCAATGGACCTTAATCTGCTAATAGGTCACTTCTCTCACCTCTCCGGAGTGCTTCGAATATTACTCCTTGATTTCCATCATCAACTTCTTAGCTTTGCGATTTCTTGTGTGTTTAGCCACTACTGTTGCAACTTTTTGAGGTGTTTCTTATTACTCTTAGCTCATGTAGGCATTGGATCCCTATACATACATTGCTTTTACTTTACCTTATACATATATACACAAGAAGAAGCATTTGAAGTTGAATGAATATTGCCTATTATTCAATTTCTCTGCGCTGGACAAACCCCCTTTAACATTAAAAACTTACTTTTCTGCCCGAAATCGACGGCGAGTTTTTCTGTGGCTTATAAAAAACCCGAAACAAGATTTTCGTGAACGAAACCAGAAGACTTTCAATATAATTTAATTTGAAGGTCTATAAGAATTATAGAAACGGCTTAAAGTTCTATTTTTAATACACATAAATTCTAGAAACAGAAATTAACGATTGTTTTAAAGAGGAAAATATCAATTGCCAAATGGGTTACCCAGATAAATTCCAACAATTAGTCTTTTTGAGACTTTTTGCGCTCTTTTGCACTTTTTGAACTTTTGCCGTTTTGGGCCTTTGCGTTCGTAAAACTATTGCCTGCTGTCAACCCAAAGTTCAAGCGACGCCTTCAGTAGTTTAGTTCAAGAGAGCTTACACCTACCAGTGTCGCTTGGTACACCATCATTAGTAAAATTTTATTCGCGTATTAAAAATTAATCGTCTAGGTGAGAAAGTAAAGTTTTGTTGCGGTAAATAATATCTACATAAATAAGTGTCATAGCGAGAAATGACACTCCAAGCGCATGCAAAAGAAAAAGTTAAAATATTGACTGTTTAGTTTTTTTTTTGTTCAGAAGGTAAAAATTCAGATTTAAATGCCCCGTTTTGTGTAAAAATTTAAACGTCACCCTATTTCGTCGTTTCTTATGGTCATTTTAAATTTCTGTATCATATAAAGAAAACGCTTAATGCAATTGAGGAAGTGTATTGCTCATTAGCTTCGAAATTTATATAAACGGAAAATTGAGCTGTGTGAGAGCAATAACAGTAATAAGTTTTGCAATACAGGTTAAGTACATAGTATATACGGTTTGCATTATTGGCATTTACGTTCATTTCTATAATTTATTTGGTACTATTGCAGTGGCTATAAGGAGAAAAATTTTATGCTTCACTACGAGTTCCCTTCATACGCAACAAATGAGATTAAACACAGTTCGCAGGCCGGCCGGCGTGAACTTGGACATGGAAATCTTGCTGAACGTGCGCTCGTACCTGTAATTCCAAAAGACTTTCCCTTTACTATTCGACTCACCTCAGAGGTATATTAGCCCGCAGAACCCACTTTAAATGTTAGTAGCCACTAACGAATTTGCTTTATGATAAACTATTGATCAAGGATCAGGTAGCTAGATTTATGGGTAAGCATTTTTTATTTCCCACCAAAAAATACTTCTTCCATTTCATTATATTGTGTTGGTATTGCTGAAAGTGTTATGATATACAAAGAAAACGTGAAAAAATGAAGGTTTTTACAAACTGATGTTTGTCGTACAGTTCTATAAGCATTTGCAAGACTTCTACGATTACCTGCGCCGGCCGCCGTTTTACATTTAGTAACTTATTTCCGCAGTCCGGTTATTTTTTGTTTTCTCTATTCCATTTGGTGTTACTTGCAAAAATATTCCGCTGTAGCAGATAGATGCTTCTTTAATTAAAATAGCGAGTTCAGACCAATAAATATTTTTCGCCTGGAGTTAACCTTAGCAAAACTGTTTCTCTCGAAAAACCTTTTCTGATTTCACTGCTACGTCTCAATCATAGGTGTTCGAGTCGAACGGATCATCGAGTATGGCTTCAGTTTGCGGCGGTACACTTGCTCTACTTGATGCAGGGGTTAAGCTGAAAGCCCCTGTGGCCGGAGTTGCCATGGGTCTCGTGTCCGTACCGGACCCTGAAAATCCAAAACAACTCAAGGACTATAAGATACTTACAGATATTCTCGTATGTAATGTGTTGACGAGAGAATTTTGTGAAATTCAAAAAGACTATGTTTCTTTAGCGAAAACAATCGTACCACATTGATTTATTGTATAGTCCTGTCATTTTTGACAATTTTTCCTTTTAATCTTTCGCCTAAATGTTCAAATTGGCGGACTTGCTTTCGAAATTGTTTAATCAGATTTCAACGTTCTCTTCACTCGTAGAAATTTCGCAGTGTAGCTGGTTTAATAGGAAGCGGAAAAAATGGTAATCCTTTCGGAACTTAGCGATGTCGTGATGTAGGATGATTAGGTATTGCCACTCAGTAACGTCGTAGCTGCAGTCCACTTTAACGGCCAGTTACAAGATTTATTAATGGCCATCCCTCTCCAAAAAGTGCCTTTAAACTATCCTCATCAAAGTTGGACGGTCTAGTGAAACAAAATGCTTCTCTCAGAAACCATTTCTGAACTTCGCAAAGCATTCTCCAGCAACCCTTTTAACGATTACAGAATACGTACTCAGGGTATCTGATATTCCGTGTTTTGCAATAACTTATGACGATAAAAGGCTTTAATAAAAGAATAAATAGAAATAAATGGGCAAAGTGTGGGGCAGCTTCCTCATTAGGTTATTCTAGTTAAAAAGAACACTTTCATCATAAGGGAGAAAGGACGAAATCTATTGTGTGGTATCATCAAAAATATAACTCAACACTGAGGTTTTTGAATGTACTGAATGATCAGATTTTTATGAGACGAACAGGGGGTGAGTTAGTAGTGATCAGAAGTTGGTGATATGGGTGCTGACGTAGCAACTGGTAACAACGATAGGAAGTGATTGATTTCCAATAGAGAATGAAGGAATACCAGAGAGCAGCGAGGATCGGTTAGATAAGGATTTTGATCAATTGATTAAGAAGGTAAAAAACAGAAGCGAAGTTTATCAAGCTGGAAGGTATCGACAAGAGCATGAAATTAACCGTACGGGCTATGCGGAGCTGCAGAAGTGCCACAAAAGACAGTATTTATATGAACTTGGGGTTGCTTTTTGCTTATAGACCCGCCCCCACACAAACATACAGCAAAAGGCAAGAGAAATTGTCATATGATTTTATAATCTTTTTTTGATTCAGAGAGACGTCTCTGTTTACGGTTATGAACCCGAAAAGTGATCGCGTCCAAAAAACACTATGTGGTCTAAAACACTACATAGAAGCGGAACAGGTGCTGCGATGCTCGCCGTGTTCGCAGACACGACGCACACTTTTACCATGTACCGTATTTCTTAGGATAAACAGTAAAATGCGTGCACTCGTTAGGAGCTATGGTTTTGCAAACACGGCCAAATAGATCATAATGTTTGGAGACCGTCTTGAATATTTCATTGCGACCATTTGCTATTACATTTCCTCCTCATTGCCCGAACAAACTGCGACTTCTAGACGTGAGTTCGACTTCGTACAGCTCAATATAACTTCGCTGCTGCAAAAATCACAATCTATGACGTAACCGGATTGAGCGTACGAGGAATCATATACGAAAACAAGTATTCTTAAAGGGCTTCAGAAGACAGGCACGTTTTGGCAGAACAAAACCGCATTCTCAGAAATACCTTTCTTCCTTCAGTAGCACATGATAATTAGTTTAGGCCCTGGAATTATCACGGAGTATCATCCCAACAGGATACTACGGTGGTTTATTTTCTTAAAAATCTTTAAAAAATTAAAATACACGTAATGGCGTTGCTGATAGTTATTGACAATGATATACCATTTATAGGCAATGCGTACTAAGTGTGTATGTGTGTGTGTGCCGATGGCCTTTTGTGAAGCCTATATTGGATTTTGTTGACCATTGTTTTGATTTTAAATTTATTAATAATACGATCACCATCCGATATTTTTTGAAAGACGATGCAAGCTTCTGAGCAACCAATATAAAGTTACTGAACAGTACCTTTAGCTGCTTTTTTTTAGAAGCTGATGTCACAACCTAACAATTGTCAGAAATAGCAGTAGTAGAACTTACTATTGTAGAATATACAGTTTTCTTGTAGAATGTAAAAGGGATTCCAGAAGTCGCACTTTGATAAGGGTTTTCTTATTTCCAAACTGTGTTCATTAGAAATTATTCACTGAGAATTTGCTAGTTCGTCTGCAAATTGAGTTAAAAAATTTACGATATAAGAGTTTATATTTTCTTTCTCCATTTCATTTAGACGAAATTACGTTTCTTATCGATAGCAAATCAATAGCTAAGCCTCTGTAGGATGCCGGGACGTGTTTACCTATATGATCTAATAGTATTACCCAATGTGTGACAATCTGACTTTAACTACCGCTTTTCCCTTTTCTAACATTTTGACCAGGGTATTGAAGACTTCCTAGGGGAAATGGACTTCAAACTGGCCGGGACTGCGAAAGGGATAACCGCGCTACAAGCAGACATAAAAATTCCTGGAATGCCACTTAAAGTTGTTATGGAAACGATAGTACAAGGGTTTTTGGCAAAAACGCACATTCTCAAGGTGAGGGGAAGTCGTGTCCAAATTGAAAGGCACGGCATTACTTAGTAATACATGGGCAATATATAAATGCCGCATTCAACCGTAATCTTGCTATGTATGTGGTTACGTGGATAACTCCTGAAATATTCCAGTAGGTTTTCAAGATGTCGATCGGTTTGTTGTTGGCCAGCAAGAGTGAACGTTTCACAGGCAGTAGTGCCAATCTCGTGTCGCTGCATTTTAAATATTATTTTTACATAACGACTGTCACGCATGAAGCTATACTTGAACTACTGTAGCGGCGACTGTAAGGATTGCACGCCTCCTTGTCCATAAGAGATACAGGCCTCATGAGCCCGATGGAAAAACACATGGCACATAGTACTTCACACCAAGGCTGTTTCTCAGCAATGTGAGGCCTGTGAACCTCGCAAATTTCGAACGAAGTGGGTATGAAATAGAGTATGGAAAATCAGGTTAAGAGCTTTTTCAGAATAGCGTCCGTGAACGTGCCATACACTTTCTATAACCTTTAGGATGTAGTTTAGCGTATAATGCATTTAATTATGTATCGAGACACGATTATTACTTAATGATAATGGGTCCAGACAAACGAACGTCAAATGGCAGAGGTCGTATAGGAGTTTGCCACTGGGTTTTACATCTAGAGCGTGTTTTATGTTCAGTATATTTTCTGCCCTCTATTAATTTGTTTAGATCTTCTCGGGAAAACACGCGTTAATCGTTGCGCATTATAGGTGATGAGTGAGGCAATGGACAAGGCGCGCGATGACCCTAAAGACAACTGGCCAGTAGTCGAGAAGTTTGACGTTCCAGTTCATAAGAGAAGTGAATTCATTGGAATTGGCGGTCGTAATTTAAAACGGATCACAGCAGAGACTGGAGTCACACTCATCCCTCTCGACAACAGTTCGTTTGATGTGTTTGCACCTAATCAGGTAAAAAAAAAAGATTAAATAAACACTCTTTTTTTTAAATTTTGCCACTGTGTTAAATAAAACACAGACTGTTGTTGAGTCAATGCGCGGCGTTCTATGTATCAGCCAGATGAAAGTAACTTATTTGCTACTATGCTATGTGTACTTACAACATCAAGACTGAATGATTTTTCATTCAATACGTTGGCCAACAATAGCAGTAAATTTTTCCGTTATAGACATTATACGAGTGTATTTTTTGGGCTCATGTTAGTTCCAGATGCCACAAGCCTAGTTGGCAGTTCGTACAGTAAAATTGTTCAACAAACCCTTGCCTTTCTTCAAGTTATTCTATTAAAATTATTATTATTCAATATGCTACCAATTCTGTATATAGTACGCCTTCATTCGAAATTTACGGACGCAACCGGCGGCTAAATTATGGAAGTGGACTGATGTTAATATCATTGTTATTTACATTATACACTCTTTCTGAAATGTAAATAAAAAAATCACACAAGGAAACATGTTAATAAAACTTCAAGGCTAAGATATTGTTTTTACTAGTGAAGCTAATAATAGCATCTACACAATGTAAATAAATAGTGTCATATATAGTGTTTATTCGATTCACGATGTCGTAAATTATAGATACGTTTCACTTAACAAGTGGTAGTGTTTATTTGTTTATCTAGGAATTACAGGACGGAGTTGTATTTCAATTGACTTTTATCATGTTTCGCAGACCGCGCTGTCCGAAGCCAAGGAGTTGATGACGTCAATATTGATGTCTACAGGAAAGGAACCTACGCTAGATTTTGGTGGGGTTTATTCAGCGCGAATTGTTGAAATTCGAGAAAGTGGAGTAATGGTTCAACTTTATCCTTCGATGCATCCCACGCTACTTCCGAACTCGCAGCTTGACCAGCGTAAGGTAAGCCAAGCCAATTTTGTGATGTATAGATTTTTATTTGCAGACCATACCATTAGAGTGCAAGAAAATGCATTCAGAGTTGATGCACGTTTTCCTGCGGAATTGAATTGCGGCCTGTTGGCAGGCCAAAAGTCTTAAAAACGCACGGGTTCAAGAGACGATGAATATTCCCATCTGCCAAACATTTATATATATACATTAGCATCACTTTAAAATGAGGGTGCGTTATATAAGGCTTTATGGAATATTGGAAAGCTTTCGAGCCATTTCAGTCTAAAGCATACTGAAGATGATCCGCTTCTGCTTCCGAAAATTGGGAATAACATATGCTGCCCATTATGGACAAAAAAGGAACCTTGGTAGGAAAGAAAAAATCTTTTGTGCATGTGAAAGCTGGATAATACTTGATTGCACTTGGAACTGCGAATAAAAAAAGGATGTCTCATGTTTGCTTCTAATCTAATATAATAACCTTTTACTTAGTTGTTCTGGTTTCGAATGAACAGATTCGTGATATATTGCTGATTGTAGCTTCGTCTTTGCCCGTGTGGGACTGGCTATATAATATCCGAGATCATTTACCGTGAACTTATTTCTGTACAACTCCGTTTGACTCGGTCAATGCTATCGGGTGGGGTGCCTTCGCCCCAAGACCGTTGTCCTTTCACCTCTCGCATTCTTGCCGTTTTCCACTGTTATTACAGATGGCAAGTAAATCCGTTAGTTTATTCTGACTAGGCCCTTAGTGAAGATCAGGTTGACGGTCAAACCTTTTTTCGCAATTGTACATCAGGAGAAACTGCTGCTATGTAGGCAAATACCTGCACATTGTTTAACATCTTTGCATACTGCTGTTCAAGGCGCTCCATCCACGCTTGGACAGCTAGATAACTATGGAGGCTTGATTAATGGTTCGGCTTGATGCAGAAGCATCGAGCGGTGTTGCTGCCTTGTAAGCGTCTTTCACAAGCGCGAGCGGGCCGCCGTTCTAACTTGCCGTGAGCACCCATATTACCAGTGTCCAGCAAGTATGTGTCATTTGATGTGCTGCTACCGCGAAAGCAAGGGTGGCGTCCCAACGAAAGTCCTTATTTGACAAATATCTACCTCGCAGTTGGGCGGTATCAACACAGCCTAGGACTGGAACCCTGGATGGCATTAACGTGACAGTCGAAAATCGTTCTCGACGACACCGTGCCCCACTGCAAAAGGAGTCAACTTAACTATCTGACGTACGTTTGTTAGACCACTTTAAGATCAAGCTTTAGCCGTACATTGTATAACAATGCTGGTCGGCCTGCACAAATTTCACAAACGTTACCTTCCGGGTCTCAACGACATTGAGGAGTTCTAAAAACCTGAGCTTTGCCTCCGGGAAGCGATCCGCAGACTTGTATTTGAATTCCTTGTATGTATCGGTCTTTACCGTTTCACGGTCGTACTACACAGGCGCGACCCTTTTAAGTAGCACGCTGACTATCCGTACTACTTAATCGTCAGGCCACTTTACTTGGATTATCAGGCGCTCGATCTCTTCGATCCGCTTTTTCGGTTTGATACCGTCAAACTTGGGGCTGTCGGTTCTGTTCGTCCTACCCTAAATGGCTTGCACCAAGCCGCGTGTGATTTCGTCTATCTCACGCGTACCACCAAAGGACACCAAATTGTCAATTATGGTTTTATTATATTTTCACGAGTTTTTTTTTTTACATGTATTACCCGTCTTATTCGTGACGTTCACACTTATTCATATCCACCATAACTGCATTTTAAATTTATAACCTGAACCACCCATTTTCCTAATGTTCCTTCTTTAGCTATTTTTAGCAATAGCCGTGCGTCGAGCGGCGTTTAAGTATCGCTCAAACACATTACACACAATCAATTTCAACGAAACTAAATTTGAGCTAATAGCAAATAAAAAAAAAAGCTAGGGTTTACAACGGCCATGAAGTTCAAATGACGCAAAAAGCTGCAACAGAACTAAGCGTTGGAGCTTACCGAATCGAAGACGACCTAATCGATCATTAATATTATACTCTTTAACAATCGTTTATTACTATAAAAATAAATGTATCAAAGAGATAATATTGAGCTCTTTAAATATGAAAGTTATTGGGAATTTTCATTATCGTTTTGCTTGCCTTATGGAAAGCTTTTTCCAATTTTTCGTAAGGCGCATGAAGACAACATACACTATCGATTCCTGGGAAAAAAAGGAGGCTTTTAATTTTGGTGAGCGCTTCTTCTGGAAAAACCTAGCTTTATTCTAGTATAAAGAATGGCGGATGAGTGTATGTGACTTAGTGACCTTTCTCTTAGGCACACTTATTTTCACTCAAAATGTGCACCGGTATCTATGACTTTAAGTAATAATCTGTTTTTTCCGCAACTGTAAAAGTTTGAGGCTTCAGGAGTTTCGAAAAGAGACTTCGACATCGTGTTAAGATTTTAATGATTATTTTAATAAAAAGTTGTTGAATTTCAAAAAAAACATTAGTCTCTAGGGTCGATGTCTAGTGAATATAGTGGAGAGCTAATTAAAATGCTTTAGATGAGCTCCAATGGTTAATATTATGGAGAGTTTTTATGCTTCCTTGCACCATCAGTTTTTGCATTTTTAAGACTTCGGGCCTGCTTTTAGCCCAAAATTTTATTCCTCTGAAATTTTCAATATGGAGCGCACGATTACTTTTATGCAAGGTATTTGCAGGTTAAAGAAAGGGGATATACTAAAAATGATTAGATTATTTAAATCCCAAATGATCGCGGCAAATAATGGTCGTATTGAATAAACTTAACTATCAAGAACGACATTTCTAGCACATGGTAAACAAGTTATTGAAATATATATATATATAGCTAAACTAACATGTAATGCAAGCTTGCAAACATCACTCCATAATGGATTTTTACGAAATGAAGTGATACGAGTGCGCATATATACTGTCAGTATAACAAACAAAGAACCGGAATTATGGGAATCTATAAATGAAGTTATACAAAAGCATTTTTTGTGAAGCCTCACAATGTTTGGAAGTTAAATCGATACCCGGCATTTGGGCTGTCTCTTCTTCAAAGTGAATCCTTCCCCTCTGACTAAGATTATGAGCCCAAGAATCAATACTTATTCTTGTTCTTAGTTTCTTATTTGAAAATAACTGGGTCAACTTTGATTTCTAACATTCTCCAGGTAAATTAGATCTCCCAGGGTAACACTAGGTAACGGTACGCACCAAATATTTATTTTCCGGCATTGTTCGTCTCATTTGATAGCGTGCAGAAAATATTCTGAAATTAAACGCGTGTTTATTTTTTAGGTAAGCCATCCGTCGGTGTTGGGTTTGGAGGAAGGTCAGGAAATCCAGGTGAAGTATTACGGTCGTGATCCAGTGTCCGGAGCGATGCGACTTTCGCGAAAAGTTCTACAAGTGCCACCTTCTTCCATAATGAAGAATCTAATCCAGAAATTAGAGTGATATCGAAGAAGTACTTGGTCTTATTATATCATCACGACATTATACTTCCAATCTTGCATCAAGTTCTAAAGCTTGTGAATATTAATGTAAAAAATGTGGTGCCATTACTAAAGCATATAAAGTTAATTGTACAGTTAACGATTACTAGAATTTATACGCAATTGACTACATATATCGGGTGCATATATTTATTAATAGCGTTTATATATATATATATATATATATATATATATATATATATATATAATTCAATAAAAGGGCAAAAAAATAAAGCTTCAAAAACACTTTATTTTCTGTGTTAATTTTACAATCCTTTGTTTTACTTGTCGTTTGCTTTAAAGCTAATGGTAACAGCCATTACACGTACACAAAAGCTATAAGTGCCATTTTCACCATATATAAGTATCGCGGAAAAGTTTTCCCTGCAGGAGACCTGCACTATATATTCCATTACTTTTTCATAAAAATGATGGACCATAATTGCTTTGTTGTGTTTATGTTGCTGTAATCCCATGCGAGCATCCACAACAAACTATATAAACCAATAAGCTAACTATCAGAAAATTAAGGCAGGTTTGATATTGGAGGATTACAGTGCTTATTGCAGTATTGTCGCACGGCTTCTTGTAAGGCAAACATTCTATGCAATTGCACAGGTACGTTCACTATTCCAAATTATATTTTTAGCTCCTAAATATTTCCATGCGCTTACACAAGAAGACGTTGGGCTGTCATAGTAAAAGGGGGTCTTCCTTTTTATCAGTAGGAATCGAATTAGTCACAGAGTTTTGGAAGACAGCTGGCAGTTGCTCGAAGAAAATAACCAGGCATGTGTGCTGAAACAATTTCGAGAATGAAATTACTCTATTTAGAAATATAACATGTCTGCTCACTGACGCAGTAAAAGTGCCCAATAGAACGCTATCTGGAAATGAGATAATTTTTCTGGCAAACCCCAATACAATTAATACTTCTCGAGTTCCTGTTCGGTTGTTTAGTCTGGGCTTTTTTTTAGGATAATAAAGACCCCGCGTAGTACTGCAACGACGGTACTGATATGAGGCGATTTACATAAATGACAACACTTAACGGATTAGGTACCATACACTGCCCAAAAAGGCTTGTACATTGCGTTAATTTGTTTGCGTAGACAATGCAAATTAGAACATGGCATACTTAGGTATTTTACATGCTTAGCTCCTTTTGAGATCGGAAACAGTTGCAGGCATTGCCACTCAAACATCGCTCTCATCGTCATTTTTATCATCCTTATAAATAGATTTAATATCCTCTTCACGATATTACATCTCTGAGATCCTAGGAAAAGACAACTCTAAATATAATTTACACAAGTCCAATAATAATATATATATATATATATATATATATATATATATATATATATAGATATCTATTCGAACGCTAAATATTAGCACGAGGTAGATGAGCAGATGACAATCGGTGTGTGCCGAAACGTATCTCCTTGTTGAATGTTGAAGCTCATCTTTGGATGGTGCCAGTGTGTGTAGGTACGAAGGGTTGTTACATCTACATTTGGTATCCTGTAAATGTCTGCGTGCCTATGAGGTGCTTGACTGTCTAAACATCATCTCACTGGTGAAAAGCAGGCAAATCTCAACTTGCCATCTGTGATCTTATGGATGTACTTTCCACAAATGAGTGTATTCGGAAAGTCTTTGCGCACACCTGTGGGTGAGAAAATATTCAATTTGAATTTTTGTTGACCGTCTGTTTTCTTTTTGGCAGTCCAGCCAATAAGATGGTCGTCGAAACCAGAAAGCAACACTAAGCCGAAAATCATTTTTTATCCTTTTATCGTCACTACGATTTAGCGGTTAAGCAAATTATTATTATTATTAATTGAATCCTTACTCTGCTATATACAAATGTTACTCAGTCCCTATAGAAGGCCCTTCTGGTTGTCGTTTTTGCTTGGCCATTGTGTCAGTGCGGGAACTTCTCTTACCTGTGCTTTCCTAATGAAATGTATTCGACTGAATAAGCAGAAAACGTTTGATACAGCACAACTCAAGCAAGTTGATAACTTCAAATAAAACCGTAGCTTCCATGTTTGAGTCGCCCTTAATATCGGCAGGTAAACTTATCGTACATTTTACGAGACAACATCTGTTCCTCTTTATGGATAGTTGCATAAAGTTCTTTCGCATTCGCAAATAGTAACATAGATATACAAATACGTATATACATTTATAAGTATACGTATATGGGTACACGTCGAAGGACAACTAGTTATATTACAACTGGCATTTGATGTTCTAACCAACGGCTAATCTTGCCGCCGTAAAGGTTGCCTTTGCACAGAAAGCTCAACGTTTCCATTGATAGCAATATCTGGTGAACAATCACATAATATTGTAAGTTAATTTATTAAGACAATCATTCGTAACATACATTTATCTATGGCTAAGTTTAAAACTTCCAATATTTTATCGTCTGTGTCGTATAGGTAACAATGCTATAGCTCGTCCTCTTCAACATCTTATTTTACCACATACCGGCGATACAGGAACGGTTGTATAGCCCTCGAATGATGTAAGCGAGCACGAAAACGTACGCTAATTATAACTCGACAGTGACGAACAATTCTCGTTCGACTTCTCGGTTCGATTGCCTACTTGCCTACTGCCGGTTCGATTCCTAACTTTAAAACATGTCCGACATCTTACAGTCTTGACATTCATATAGTACGTAAATACGCGTTTACGGGCTCTAGATTATACTTCAGCTTACTGCGCCTGTATCGCCCCAAACTGACTAGTGCAGTCTTAATTTCTAGTTAGTATATATAGTGACAATTATCGGACATTTAATAAGAACAGCAAAGTACGTTACCAAAATAGATTACAGTACACAAAACGCAGCAATATTTATAATCATCTAGCGAGTATAAAAATTAATCACGTCTGGTTCTAACGAACAAATTTCGCGGACTCCTTCATTGATGCTCTGATATCGAAATTTCTCTGACTTCACTGATTCGTTAGACCATCGATTAACCTCGCTAACTTATATTCCGGCCAAACACACACATCATCCATGGCTTCTACTGGTCGTTATACCGTCAGCCTGCTCGTTATACTTGAGACACTCAGTCGTGACCCAGTCATCAATAAGATGGCACCTCCTGTGAATTCTCCTTAAGTATTTCTCACACATGCTAAGACTTCGCTTTGGCGCTCTGAAACTCCTTAACATACCGCCCACTGCTAGATGAGGCGTGACTACCTCGAAGGTACAAAGCAAATACCTGAAAAACCCCTTTCCCCAGCTGTTTTCCCCAGTCGGTTAGTTCTGGAAACATTCCAGTTTGGTCTCGCGAGTGATTTGTACACAGGCAGTGATTGGATGTGATGGTCCGTCGGTGACCTCGTTGGTTGTACATGGCGTTGCCTCTGTGACTGAAGTTATTTCGTTAGCAGATGCCGGCAAGTTCTGTACACAATGCCGCTTTTGTGACTGAGATTGTCCGTAAGCTGGTGGTCGATCGGACACTACGATTTCTGTGCATGATGGTTCCGAGGTAGCGGTTTTACCATATCCAGATTTTGGATTGAAGCTTGGACACCAGTTTTGATTGTACAAAGACCACCTGCAAATTTCGATCCGAAATAAAAGTCAAGTAAGGATAAAACAGTATAGTGAAATCGCTTCGAAGAGCCATAATAATTAATGCAGTAGCAGTGAAAGTAACATTTTGCTGATATCCTCGGCATATAGAAATCGCGAAAGTACTCGCTATAGCGTCATAGTAGGAGCTTGTAGTACACCATCTAGTCTAAATCTTCAGTCATCTAATAGCATTTGATGGGTGAAGTCACAAGATTCTTGCCCTTAACAATGCAAATATATCATTAGCATTAAGATGAGATAATATGTATTGTGCAATTATTCGTCATTATATCGCAGTACTAATTCATTTTGGTTTCGAGACATGGGCCATCTCGATTTATTTAGATAGTTATTTGATTTTCATAAAATAATTAATTATAAACTGAAATATTTGTTGAATGATGGATTAGGAAGCACTCTGTTTTAACAATTTGGTTTTAGATCGATAGTTTCCGCTTAGTAAGGAAAGCGCGCATCAACACAACGCTTATTAGGTCGGCGAAACTTATGGAGGCACGCTTCGGAAAACGGAACGGCGGCTATCACGAAAAGAGCGAAAGAAGAGAAGTTGCCCCTTGAGTACGTTCCCGATGGTTAGTAGGAGCAAGTAGGAGTTCGTGCACTCGTACTGGAAGTACCCAGTTGTCTGGAACAATGATTAACGCTAATATCGGGCGCGAAACCCGAAACATTCATTTCATAACTGTCATGATGAACTGAAACTAGGTGACAGAGGATAAGGTAGAAGGAGTACAGAATAGACAAAGGGCTTCGTACGCATTTTGTTGGCAGCTGGAGTGCGAACCTGTCGGTGGCAAGGGGGCATTGGCATATCGATTATCGGATTGATCTAGCTTGTTCTCTCCTGAGTTCATTAATGCTTTGTCATGTCGATAGGTGCCCCATAAAAGGCATCCTTAGATCGTTGACTGAAAAACCTTAGAGGGAGAACTTGTCTTAAAGATTTTCGGGCTGTTGCAAGCAACGTTGAAATTGGCAAAAACGGCGGAAATAGGCTGAAAATAGAGACTAGTACAGCGTATGGGAAAACGGCAGGTGTGTTTAATAATACTAATGTTGATGCCAAGTTGAAAGAGTGAGACAAGCCGCTTGGTCATATTGCAGGTCAGCAGATTGGGATGAGGTGGTGGCTACTAATCAAGAAATGTAAATCAGTTTGACGATAGCCTCTAACATATTGAGCATCAAAGTTATTGTCCAAACTGGACAGCCTGAGCCCTGTGCTGTGTTTAAGGCCAATTTGTGGACGCTGTAGTAAATGTGTTTGCGAGAGATCGAATCGACTGGACTTTGTGTGTATCGCAAAGGCAACAAAATAATTGATCAAAATCATACCTCACGTGTTCTCTTTTAGATGCGGTATTCTCCACAGTCTCCACACTTCGAAGCAGTGTATACCTTTAAGGGCAACAAAACTTTTGTACAAGTTGACTTAAATATCGCTCTAATTGACAATAAAACATCATCGACTGTAAAGCTGCACTTGTCATCATCATCACCATCATACCGTATACTTATTTGGTAATTTTTATACGTTTAAGGTAAAAACGAAAAACAGTAACCAAAAGAGGGTTTCTGCGGTGAACCAGGGGGGCAGCGCCTAGCAGAGTTACTGGCAACATTTGTTTGGCTCTAATTTTTCTGCTCGCCAAAAAACGATCAATTCATCTGACGACCGAAACTTCTTAAGTTTTACAGCAAAATTAACTCAGTCAAAAGTTTGGGCAAAAACGTTTTTACTTATCAGAAGGAACTAGTCATGAGTCATATTTAAAATTTTCATAGAGATGCCACTTAATACACCTGAGTAAGTATGATTGAAAAGAGTTTTAAAATTGAAATACGGGCTGTAGGTGTAATTCCAGAACAGAACTATCGTCATACGTTTTCCGAGCAGTTGGACAGGGCGGTCCAGCTGATGATTAAACGCCTCATAAGCGGGTAACAAAAATGATTATGGTGTAAACAAAAGCAAATTCACAATAATACTTCATATACGATATTGTTATATGCCATAAAAAAAAACTAGATTGGTACCGCCTAATCCTTGATGAGAGCGTAATCGAAATGTATACATCTGTTTACAGATAGCGGGTTTCATATACGGATTTTTGTGGTGTAGGGCTTATGCTAGCATCTTCAACCCATTACGTTTATAGGTTCTTTAATTCTTGGTCCTGTTTCGGTAGTTACTATGTTAGTAAACTCCTTGGTAGGGGGAGGGATCCACCTTCCAGTTTGCAATGTAAGATTTGACTAACTAGTTCAATTTGTCCATGTCCTATTCCGTTCTTCCACAAGCTAACTTGGAAAGACTCTGTGAAAAATGTCGGTTGGTAGTAGATAGTTGTTTTTTACGTTTCGCTGTTAGCTCAGTCATTAGCGTGTAGGTGCTGAAGGATTTTGTGACTTTCCACATATGTTATTATTAGTCATAAATAGATTTCATCCACTTACTTAGAATTTGTGCGGGAAACAGACGAGTATTTTGTCGAATCCCCCCTGACTACCGTTTCGTAGTCAGGCGGCGGGTCGTCTTCTTCTCGGGGAGCTGTGGGCGTCTCGGTTGGGGCTCTTGGGCTCGGATCACAGTGTGGAATCAAGCTATCCCAAAGGATACCGGTAGTTATCAAGATGAAGATACCTGTGCGCACGCGAAGTTTTAAATCGTATTAGTTCCGATGCTTTGCGTAGGCGTTCCGTTCGTAGACCTTACGTTAATGCGAATAAGAACCCCACAGTTTTAGCAATCAAACGCTCCTTGAATAATTACGAGCCTGTCGTGAACCTATTTTTGAAAATCATCACGCTCAGCACGCTCGATGGATAAGCAATAGGTGTTCGTCATTGTCGCTTTGGACCAGCTCATAGAAAGGAATGGTGTCAATGGTGTGATCGGTGCGCCCAAATATTTTTTAAAATACGATTACAAGAGTATATTAGAAACCCTAATCTCTTTAAACTACGTAACAGCTATTAAATCTGAGGCGATACTTTTTTTCATTTTAGCAACTCCTGTAATCTTATGGATGTTATTACTTAACAGTAGCAGAATATCCCAAAATAATATGGGTAAATAAAATAAATTCGAATGTAGGAAAGATGCAAATTCTGTTTAGTTTTTGCAAGCAAAGTAAACTTCAAATATGTACAGTGCTTGATATTAAAATTATGGAAACGAGAACATTTCATATCAAGTGATTAAATGACAAAGTACACAAAATTGCAAAGCTCTCTAGGTGCTCTCTCCCTGTACATGCGCGCACACACCCTCTACTTGGCGTTAGAAGTCATATTTGAAAATGACACGCACCCTCAACAATGGTGAAGTATTGGGCTAATGGACTGTCCGTACGGCTGTGCATAGTGGTCACTGATGAATAGGTATTTATCGTAATTTAATAGTGACCTATGTAAACTGAAAAAGAATTTAACAGTCATTCTGACAGATGCGATTATTCAACATCCGTGATCCTGTTTCGAAATTTAATACTGATATACGTCTGGACGGATGTAGGGGGTCCTTAATCCTACGGTGTCCAATTCTGATCCGATAAAACTCATGCAGGACAATGCGGTTTTATCTTCGCTAATAAAGCATATTATCGAAGTACAAGACTTATTTCAAGACGAAACGCAAATGCGTAAAAAATTCATGAGGCTCAAGGCTCGCCTCCGGAATATAGGGAAAAAGCAATTATTGCTTAGTATCGCCGTGCTGGGTTATAAAGTTTGTTGGTCTACCCGTTTCATACGGCTTCGAAAAACCCAAGAAAAATTTGCACGAGGAAAAACAGCGGTTACGCAAGAGGGGTTGGATGAACAAGATCCAGATCGTACAAAAAGCCTCTTTTTTATGGTCTCGAAATTTACGTGCAGAAATTAGAAGCTGGTTTTGAGATAAATGCTTTTATTACCAAATGCGACATTCAGATAAATCTTAACGGCTGGTGTTTATTTGACTCTTTTTTGACTTTTCTGGGGGGCTTACACTTTTAAAGCTTTAGGCCTACAATTATATTAGAATTTAAATCGGCTGAAGTTTTTGCGACTAGTGTATCTGAGCGGTACCTCCATTTGCGCGTTTCAATATAGCCCTATTCACAAATTCTAATAAAAACTGATTTGATGAATAAAGATATTGAATAAACACATCCACTAAAAATATGTCAGTAAGCATGAAAAAAAAATGATCTAAACATTCGTCAGACTTCAGAATTAGTGATATCGAAATTCATCGACCACTTCGTTTAGATTACGGGTTTGGGTTACCTGATACGACGACAATGAAGGCGTAGCCCCTGTGTTGAGTAGCAAAGCCTGCGAAACCACCAATGGTTAACGTTCCCCCAACAATGAACGAGGCATAAAAGAAGACCCGTCGTTTGCCTTCGCTCATCTTCTCCAGCGACTTGAAAAGACACGTCATTATGCACTGCGATTCAGTGCCGTTGTTCACCGTTGGTGGTCATAGCGATTATTAGCAGACAACCCGGGCATTGGCAAAAAAAAAAAAAAAAGAAGTGATAGAATCAGATAAATACGTTTTTTCATTGTCGTTTAGAGAAGCGTTACGTTGATTTAGTTGTAGGTGTATGAATAGTAGGTTTATTGTAATTATATAGCCTTAAAAATTCATCCAAAATGTCTATCGTCATTTTTTCTAAGTTCAGGCAAACTATTGAGAATAAAAGTTGAATTATACAGGTTAGGAGACAAAAATTATAAAAAGCGGCTGTAGTAAAATTAAAATATCTGTTTTTAATTATTGTATTTTTCGATATTTTGGTTGAATACTCGGGAGGGCCAGATCCAAATATGCGTTCAAGACTTCAATTATTATATATAACAAATTATAATAGCAGTTCTTAGTACTCAGGTATAGAAAACATTTAAGCTGAAGGGGGTAGATGCCAAGTGACGTTCCCTTTTCTGTGATTTCATCAACCTTTTCTATTAAATCTGTCAAAAGTCTACTGATGATGTTATATATTATAGTGTTTTGCCAAGGGTTCTGAAATTAAACCTACTACAGATTCAATTTCAATGCAGTTGATTTGAGCTTCATTACATCATCTTCCAAATTATTAGTCTACAAAGGCCTAATTTTTTTTTTGACTATTACCGTTCGAGGGGATCAGGCTCTAATACCAAGAAGGGGTGATTGATCTGACTTAAAGAGCCCGAAATTTATGTAACGGCTTACATTTTTTTGTTAATATAATTAGTTTTAATTTAATAAATTAAGTGTCTATTAACATATGTGGAGCTCAATTTAAGTCATTTTATGATACAACTGTTATCATAAAGCAACAACGCTGAAAAGTTTGTCTACAAGTAGCATGTAAAGCTCCCTAAAATGACAAACGGTCATATGCCCGCTGCTGCAATTTTCAGAACTCAAATTGTCATAATAAGGCAACATAACCGATCTCCAAAATAATTGAATTTTTTATTCATAATGTTAAAGCACCTTTAATTTCATAAATAATAAAAAAAAACTAGTAGTAAAAAGTCGGAAAGTGCACAACCTTATATTTATTTGAACGCTGTTATATAAAATAACCGGAGGTTTGATTTTTGTTATAGAGGTATCACGCTGCGTTGTCTTTGTTTCCTTTTCCACTCATGCACTAATTTTTTTTATAATAAGATACAGAAGATGTTGGGAGCTAAGGCAAGTAACCGTATGATATCCAAAATGGTCGATGCACACCGAAAACAAGGGAACCTCACAAAAATGTGCTTTTAAACGCATTTGACTTTATATCTCTATGGCATATTTATATACGTTCAAAACAAGACGCCATTCTTTCCAGGCCACTGTTCCTTCACTAGTTGCCTTAATCAATAGGAACAGGTCGACTTTTTTTTTTGTATCTAGGTCTAAAGTCTCATTAAACCACAACCCCTGGCACTGATGTTCATTTGTTAGAATATTCCTAGTTTATGACTCTTATATATGCTAACAGAGGTCGCTTCAGTTAGTTAGATAATAACTCTACCGTTGTTTGCATTTTTTTTCAAATGTCATTCCAGTATTATTAGAATAAGCAATAGCCCAAGCCGATTTTTTATATCGTATGAGCCTCATGTTAAGAAAAAACAAATACGCAATCAAAACTCGCAAATAAAACGAAAATCAAACCAGCATAGTACGCAATACTATTAGTAGTTAGTGAAATTTTGCTAAAATGTTTCTTTTTCTTGTCAGTGGTTTAGCGTCGTCACCGTTAGACTGCGCTGGATTTCACGCTGTCCGCCACAAATATAGAAACACAAATACACAACCTTTGGGGATGAGGAACTGCTTCGAATAACAACAGTGTATCTACTGCACTTGCAACATACCGCCACTAAATTAATTCGTTTCTCAGCTTTAACGCCGACTGTTGGCCAAAAACAACAATTAGATTTAATAGAATAGACGAAGAAGTAAGGACCCAGTACATAAAGACCTTTCCTATGGCTCTTTGTGAACCTCGTTAGGCTTTGATACGTGTTAACTTATTCGTTGTCTGCATAACCACTTGACAGCAAAGGCGGCTTTCTTCGACAAACATGTAAAAAAAAATGTATTTTTTCAATTACTGGCGTGCAAAAATAACTCATTCGTTACTTTTTGATTTTGACGAATTTTAACTTGACATATTCAAATCATGAAAGGTACGCGGATCGTATTATTACGGGTCACGAGTTGCCTTTGTGATGAAAACGGCAACCAGAAATACAAAACAATGTCACTTTACCATCATATAGAGCTATCTGATTCTGATGATGATTTATTAGTTTAGAAAAACAACTCTAAACAAGCACATTTACTTATACCGGGTAACACGCTGCCAAACCTATAAAACTGACAGATACGAAGCTAGTTTGCTAACTGTTTATTGAGGTAATGGAGCTTCCAACTACAATTTAAGTGAATTAAAAAACAAACGGGGGGTCGCCAAAAGAACATCCAGTCGCTCGGCCACTGATCGGTACAGTCGTTAAATAGAGGCGTTTATCCGATCCATCATTAATTACTTTTTGAGCACGCAAAATATAATCGATAGGAACAAAGCTTAAAATTTTGTAGTTTGTAGTGGAGAAATATCCACCATTACACCCAGAAGCCGCCCAAAGGTACAGTTCAGTTGAGTACCCCCCCCCCCCCCCAAAAAAAAAAACTTACTTTTTTATGAAATCCGATAGGACTAATTAATCCTAAAGCAAATTGGCACTGATGGAGTTTTTAATATATTTATATAAAGTTCGTTTTTTCCAGAGGTGTCAATGCGGATTTGATAGGATATTCGTCGCCGTATATGGTGTGGCTTACCAACAACATTAATTATCCATCCATTTAGTTATATTATATGACCTTAATCCCTGATTGTAATTAACCGAATTCATATATTGACCGTAGTCGGGTAATTCGGGCACACACTTGTTCTTCACTGTAGTTTAGAGCTTTAACTCTTACAGGAGTAAGCTTTCAGGCGGCTTAGGGCAGTCCTGTCGCCTAATTGAAAATTAAACTTATTTATGCAAAAGCCTTTTGGCGGCCGCTATTAGCAATCATAAGTATTTTTAATTCGAGCTGACCCTATTCGAGTTGTATTCAGCAGTAGATTGCCGCTCATAGCGAAATAATATTTCAAGATCAAAAAACGGATACCTTACTACGAGAGTCAAGGTTGGCAGGATGTGGGCACACATTGTAGAGTGGAAGAAAGTGATATCACTGGTCGCCCTCAAATGATCTCCTTATAATGCGCTTAAAGGCCTAACATGTCTAAGACGAAATCCCGAAGGATAATTTGGAAGGCCACTGCCGACATATGAGTTTTAAGTACCCGCATCAGTAAGCGACCCTCAAACTCAATGAAACAGTTCCGAACGAATATGCGAGGATCAATCAAATTTGCAGAAAATAATCAATAACTTGGAAGGTGGGGTTGAACTTTGAAGACTTTCGCGTTTTTATAGTGTCGAATACGCCAATCGCTTAAAGATGAACAGTTAACGATTTTTTTAAAAATTGAATTCCGTGGCTGTAATAGTTAGCGGCATTTAGGTGATAATTTCGGTATGTGTACAATCAATAAAAATCGTTTTTTAAGTAAGAACACTTGTCGGTCTCTGTTAATATGTGATTCAATTTGCTTTAATTTATATATGATGCTACAACAGATTGAGAAATAAACCTGCATGTGTCGCAGAGAAGAAGAAACGAAATAAAAATGGCTAGCAAAAGATAGTTTTTGATAAGAGAGACTAACCTTCATCACCTTCAGTTGCAAGAGAACTGCGATAGACCTAACCGCATTAGATTTATTAGCTAATTCAGCACATGACCATCATCATTGTGGCATATTGAGCTAAGATATTTGCAAAGACGTAGTAAAAAGAACTATCCATATATAATCGGATACGATTGAGGAAACACACGAGTGCTTTATAAATTAGAAACTATAATGATACTTTTTTTTATTAGCACTAACAATGTCAGCAAGAGCCAAAGTGATAAGGCCATGTTAGTGAAACAAAAATCAATAGCATGACTGCTATATACACGTTTTGACTCTTGAAACCTAAAAGAAGTTAAAGGAAACTAGACTGCCAGCCAAATATAGCCTTTTAGCTCATTCTTCATTGGCATGTAAGAAGTTTTAACACGCAGGCCTATTAACAGTAACTGGCCAAGTTGATATTTGTATTTCAAACGAGAATTGACTCATTAACTGATTATCTTTAAGGGCATTCTGTATTGCACACGGATTTTAGTCTCTGACGTCCACTTGTACCTCTATACGTGGAAATAACGAAAAAAATACCTCTTCTTTATTTTTGCTTTTTTTTTTTTTAGAAGAGAAGAACGTGGAAACTGAAATAACATAGACTGGCCTTGGCCGTAATCTATGACGACGTCTGCCATAACTGCTTTAGCTAAATACAGCAGATTGGCTTATATTGTGAAGGCAGTGGGTACAGGATGCTAAAAAAATGACAATTATCAGCGTTACCCGGTGTAGCTTTCACGTACCACTGGGCATATAGGGGTCCACTCAGATAGCCTACTCCCTCACGTGATTTCTGTTTGTGCAAAAAACAGCTTTCCAATCAGTTTCCTGTTGGGGGGCGCGGGGTACGATGTTGTGTTCTGTATTTATTACAGATGGTCAGCTCTCGCCAAGTAGTACTACCACTGTTACTATTGCTAGCACGTATTGTAGCTCAGGGCCGTTTTGCAGATGTTAATATTTGCTACCCAGCTACATACAGAACCACTGCCATGCTTGCATTGGTTTTATAAACACAAATAAAAGACGTGCTTTCCATAATCTGTTCGGTAGTCCACATGATAATGCTTGCCTGGAAAAGTGGGTCAGCAATAGATTTTGTGCAGTGGTCGATTGATAGGTGTGTATATAAACTGGTTTTATTGATGTACATAAGGGTTGTTTTTAGAAATATTGTCCCTACATTTTCGTTTTGGAGGACGTCGCATCTCAATGTTAACAAATATTTGCAAATTAAATTTATTTTTTCTGATACTTTTCCACGATTAAGTTAAGACAAAACTAAAGCAGACCTCTAATCTCGGTAGGCACAGAGAATATCGACAACAGAACATATAGTACATTTATTATAGATAAAAATGAGTTTTATATACTTCTTATATATTCCTTTATATACTTATATACAGACTTCCATGCCTTGCTGGGCGGATATGCTGCAGCCATGGTCATGCACTGTCCTGGCATGTGTGCCTGCACATCTGATAATAACAGATACGTGCGTGCTCGTGCATTTATATGTGCGTGTGCACTTTATGGGTCGCCGTCTATCATGCTCCCATGTTGACTGATAAAGAAATTTTCGGTCCTATTGTGGCCTGAACAGCTTAAATGGTAGATGAAACTAAGCATATGTGGAGAAATAAACAACTTGACATAGTACGATATCGCCGGCAGTATCGCCATATTTTGTCGCTGCAACAGCATAATAATAACAATAGTAATAATAATAACAATATAACATACACGGTACGACTGCGTGATTTCGCAATAATCTGCTTTGACTTGTACGATTACCGCATAGATGCCGTTGATGTTACTGTTATGATTTTATTTTGGCTTACTGATTATAGGGTCTATGGGCAACACTACGATTTAATTATGCTCCGCCTAAACAAACGCTGGCATCGCCATAAAGTCTGGACGTCGTGTGTTTCCTACGGCGCGTGTGGGGCCTAATGTGTCACTATTGCGGTGACGTATTGTCCTAATATTGACAAAATGGGACATCACCATTATTCTTCTCGAAGCATAGGAATAAACTAGTATTGCATTAACAGCGATGAGAACAAAATCGTTCTCTGCTGGGATTGTGTAGACGACAGAGCAGCAGCAAATGACATCGCCATCTTCACCGTGTCTATGATAAAAGAGCGACTGGTTATCACAACGTCGCTTCTGACGAGATGGTAGCCATCTAATATGTACGGGGAGAGCAGCTGTTTGCCGAATCAACGACGTCAAAGAAGGACGACAAAATTAACAGACTATGTCATTTACTTTATTTATGGATGTGTATAACACAAAGGACGCACAGTACGGTGATTCTGTAATTGATTTACATTACAAGAGAGCTGGTTGGCCGGCTCCCCATATATATATATTGAAATTTTTTTGAAGAACACTTTTTCTTTCCTACTTCCGCTCGATTGATGTTATTTCTGATGCGTACACAATCATATACTACTACTACTACTGATGTATAATTCGAAAGTGCTGTTAGTGCAATTTTAACTCGAAAGAACTTCTCAGAGACGGATGCCCCATACGTATGGAACACCCGTCTCTGAAGTGTATTGTCAACACGCCCTGTACAAGGCATTCCATCGAAGCTGACAACTTGAGAGTTGCCCGTAAAGATGGGCTACAGCCACACGATTATCGTTAACTATCTCATGTCTTTTTGTTCACTAAAGAAGTTAACGCCAAAGGTCCAACCAAATCTTAAAGCAATTGATGGAACTGCGAGGACCTGATATAGGGGGAATTACTACCTAGGAACCAGGCAGCTGATTAACGCGTCTATCTAGCCCAGTTTCATCAAATCAGTAAGGCTAACGAAAAAAAAAGTCACAAACGAAGTCACTACAGCTCGGTAAACGGTAATATGGTTAAAGTTGCTTTCCCAGACTTCGAATGAGAGGTGTCGTTACACTCTACATATTCTTCGGATCTGGCGCCGACGGATCTTTTCCTTTTCCCTTCATAAAACAATCATCTTTGTGGCCCTACTTTCGGCATGGATCAAAGATTCAAAACCTAGGTGGAAAACGTTTTTCAAGTAGAAACCTGCTACGTTTTGGCAAGAGGACATACACTAGTTACCGAAAAATGGTAGGGATTGCGTATTACAACCTTTTGTCGAAGGAATAAAAAACGTTATGTTTTCTATTCAATAAAAAGTAGGAAGACTGACAATATACCAGCTAGGGCTTTTATATTTTAACCGCGTCGTAGCTAGCGCCTGTTTCGTACGCTGATTCTGCCCACAATGGTTTATAATCGAGTTTCTATCTCATCTCGTGTTTTGAGTCTATAATTCTTAACACAAAAAAGTAACAGGCCGTATTTGTGTGTGTTTCGTCCAGTCATTTTTTTTCTCAAATTCTTTCTTTACCTTTCAATTGGGCAACCTCTTTCGAACAGCTATGCAAAGCTGTCGATTAGGGCTGACAAAACTACCAGTCGAAATGTTTCCTTAGATCATGTGGCCTATGCATATTTGTTGGTCCAGGCTTGGAGGTCTTAGTCGTTAAAGGGGACTTCAACCTCATTTAACTTATTTGGGAGTGATTGTCGATGTTGTTAATAACTAAGGTCAACGTTAAACATTTTGCTGTGATAAACTTGTAAAAAGGTGCATATCACTTCCTCTGTAAACGTTTTTCGAGAAAATCTTACGCAGCAGGCCACCATTTCAGCACTGGATTGAACAGAGAGTAATCCATACGCGGGATTCAGCCGGGGGCAAAATCAGGAGAAATCAAAGCACTGCGGGTGCGACCTAAAGAGTCAAAATTGGACTGCAATTACTATATGCCTTCATTGCTATTATTGCTTTTAAGTTCATCGTCCTTGAAAGATAGCATTGTTATGTAAGCCCACAAGAGATGACTGCATGCGGAGGTTTCCGTCTCTTTCTCTCTCTAATAATTCAAAGGCTCTTACGCTGCTCTTACGGTATCATACGCTTAATTAACTAGTGCTGATAAAGTGTGGCATCCTAATCCTAAAAATTTTGAAAAAAAATACTCGTTCTTATTTAGAAAACAATAATTTATTCATCTGATAATTACTGACTTGTTCGTAGATAAGACATGCTAAAAGTGTGTGTCTCAAAATGTCATACATTATTCTGGTACAATCGATTAGAGTACGAAAAAATGTTTGAAATATTTTAAATGATGTTTTATTTAATGCAATGTATTGGTGCTGACAATAATAAATTAGGGCACCTCATATTGACTTCTCAGTTAACTCTTTTTAAAGTTAGAGCGTGCATTGGTCACGCGATTACCGTGAAACTTTCTTCAAAGACAGAGACATTAAAGAAATCAACAGACAATAAACGGCGATGGTGCTTTGTTCTAACGTACAAGCACAGCACGTGCCTATGTGTATTTGCAAATCTGTCTTAAACGTTAGGATATCTATGTTCATTCGCGTAACAGTTGTGACATGTTAGAGAAAGCAAATATTAAACTGCGTCTAATAATTTCGACTGACCGCAAAAGCGTACGGTAGCAACTTCAAATTTTAACCTTACCGTAACATGTCACTCTCTGCGCTGAGCAGTATATAGAAATTGTTATTGAAAATATGTCCTTGTAAATATATTCATATATTCTAAACATACAAACTGTGCGATTTGAACATTACGTCCGGCATCGCCGTTGAGCATCCATGGGACGGCTCCTCAGCACGAAACGAGCCGTGTGGCTATGTCCGGATTCGAACCCACACATGCCCTTAATATTAGCAAGCAAATAAGCTACCACGCGAAGTGAGCACAAAAGCAACCTTGATCAGAGGCATATATGCCTAATTATTCCTCTCTTATTGTCATTTAATCTGGGTCGTTCCACCTCCAGAAACGTGCGTTTCTAACTAACCAAAAAAGATTTATGATGGGAGTGGCAAGCTTTACATTATCAAGGTGCGTGCAAAGTGGCTAAGTGCTGATACTAACGCGCGCGTGTGGTCAAAATAATGAATCGATAATAAGTAGATAGGTGAACTGCGTACCACTGGACGGCACAGTGGGCCACACAAATGACAGCCCTTGCAAGAGCAGCAGTGGTGTTTCTATGCCTGCACATGCAGCACCAGAAGATTTTTACTGTTACCGCATTTGTACATGGATCAGCAAAAAGCTTATTTTTAAAGCGCTCACAAAACCAAGATTGAATATTGCACGATTGGTAGCGAACGGATTTATAAAAGGCACACGTTCTCCACCCCGTAAATCCGCACTTCAAATCTGCATGTAGGAATTATATCATAATTTGAGGTAAAATTTCAATGTATTACATATAGCGTATAGGTAGAAATTGTCGTCATTAAAACTGCTAGTTATCCACTGGTCGATGATAAATATATACAAAAGTAGTAACGCATAACCAGTTACTACTGTGCTCTCCAATCTTTACACCGGCGCCATAATCACTTGCGCTTCGCGTACTAGGCTTGACGACCGAACTATAATGATCAGGAAATTACCACTGGGATTTCAGACTCTCACAGTATCACCCGTACTATTCCAAGGGATCTTCTTTTTTCTTCTCCTAGACTACACAAGTAACTTCACGAATCGTAAACCACCGTTAATGCAACTCTTTGACGCAAAAGGACACAAAGGGTCCATCCGAGAAAAAGCGCTTGATATCCTTCTTCTCCGCCTCGTCCAAGTTTGAACAAGTATACATGGCAGGGCTGTCAATGTCTACAACGACAACAATCGAAAGTTTAGTTGACGGCCACAAAAAGGTTCATAGTTAAAATGGATTACATATTACAATAGTAGCATTTGAATAACTGTTGTGTATTAATGTATATTGCTTTTACAAGCAACAAACCGGATCCCAGCAATTACCAGCTAAAAGTATAATATTCAATGCTTGCTGCAGCATGTGTTTATCTTTGCACGATGACGGACACGGTATTGCTTTGAAATTTATAACCGATAAACAACAACTCCGAGTGGACACCATCAGCAATAGCTGACCGCCATTACTACTGAGATAATCACAGCAGTAGGAACAAGAAAAGGATAATACCGACGGTTATTGTACTACAGTAATAATAATAATAATAATAATGACATTGTAATCACTGATAAATAATCGCCGATGCCTCAATACGACGACCTCAACTGGGACTATACGCGGACCAGTTGCTGCTGCTGGGTTCAGGGACACGCGCGCGTACTGTCGCTCCACGGCGATGACCCAGCTGTGGCTATTAAGTAGGAAGAGTCATCGTCGACAAAGAATCAGGCGTACTAGCGGCAGCGCTGCAGACTTGGGCATAGAACACTGAAGCAGAAAGAGCACAGCAGAAGGAGCGCACGGGGATTTTAATAGTCGTAATAATGCGAGTGATTTTCGCGCCTGAATCGTTGTTGTTAATGGCTACTTCTGCAATCGGCAGCGGCGGCTGCAGTAGCAATGGTTAAGATCTCTGTCGAAGAGAAAGGAAGATGATGGGCGACATGTAAGTGAGCGCTTGTCAGTGAGTACCTTTTTGCGTGTGCGCACGTACCTAGTAGTGAGCTGGATCCGCAATGTAAATGCAAATATGTGATGGTAACACCATCAGAGATATGGCTAGTCATTAAAACATGCGAAATGCGTTAGGAAATCCACTATACCCTGGTGCAAAAACCCGACAAGGCATCGTCAAACGCCAGGGGCCCTAGTAGAACCAAGCCCTCTACACCGTACAGACTGATGTCCCGCCCATTTTAAACAGCGAGAAACTTCACAAGAATTAAATGTGCAATAACAGATACGGTTTCATTCTCAATATGCAAATTACGTTAGTCTTTAGATTCGATGATATAAGGTTTTAATCAGTGCTAAACTTTTACCATGTGGGAGCGGGCCTCGGATACCTTAAAAAAAGCGAAGGTTGATATAAAGAAGCAGATATTTTACAAAGACAACTGTAAGGCTAAACTCAGCGATCTCAAGAAAAGTTTAGGTAAAAAACACCCACAAATCAGACCGCGTCTTAACATGCATATTTACTGGAGGTAAATCGCTCATGTGTTGCAGAATAGTTTGAACCAACGTTCAGAAGCCCTTGAACACAGACTTCACATATACTTAAAGCTACCTTAAATTAGTTAGGTAGAACCGATTATGGCTTGGTCCATTCATGATCACCAGGCCACCATCTTTGTCCTTTTGTTATGCAATGGGATTATTAGTATGGATATAATCGAATCGAAGATCTGGTGGTCTATTGGTACTCAGAAACAACCTGTTATCCTGACTGTTTCGACTAATGATGTTTACATCATTGTTTCTCTCAGGCTTTTCACGGACGCGGTACAGATAGGATTGTATTCGGTCGACGCGTTCCTTAAAATAACGAGTTAAAAACTCACGATTTTCGCTTCTCCGCCAATTGCAGAACAGAGCAAAATCGACCTTGCTTTTTTATATCTATATACTTTTTTTTTATATATATATACGGGGAAAGCCCTGTTTACTTGCCTATTTAGGCTTTCCGCAAACACAACTGATATTTTACTGTATAGCTGTTATCGCTGATTCTGCAATTTAAAGATGCAACAGTTAAACAACAAAATGTTAATGTGTGTTAAAACACGCCGTGGCGTTGTTCACAAATACATCGATTCGTTCGTTCCGTCTAAATATACTCATAATACAAGTGAACACCACTGCTTGTTCTTAAATTTTCTCCATGCGATTTCTTCTCAGTGTTTTTATAAATAATAATTAGTAGTACCGCGTTGCCTCGTAGTCGTACACCGGCAATTTGGCATATTGTGCAAACAAGGCGTTCGTTATACTTTAATAGTTTAGTTTACTTTGGGTACTGCTATGCAAACTATATTTGTTTAAAATCTGAGCAAGGCTTGTGTTACATCAAAACTGCATGAACTGGTTTTATCTGAAACCACCACCATTCATGTCGGACTATGGGTCAGAGTTAAAGCCACGGAGCCCACTGATCACAGCTGGGACGAAGTCCACAGCACAATTTTTTCGACACGTCTATGCCAGAATCTAAAGCAACATTGCCAGTTTTTAGAACCGCCAGTGGCATGAGGCTTTCATCTAATCGGTTAAATAGCTCATGTAGGGGTCTCTGCACACATCAGTTGTGTCTGTGTCCGACAGCATGTACACACATGTGCAATGCATATAAATAATTTTTTACTGCCATTAGAATGATGTTTGACAATAGGATGATTCGTAATGGGCGATTTGTTCCTTTCAAAATTGAAAACATCTTATATTTCCCTATTACCGAAAAAGGTAATTAAATACATTGCTCTATAATTTGCTCTAGGCACGACGCGTGAAGCCGACGCTTTTAGCAATAATTTGGTTCTACAACAAATATATGAGTTGTATAGTGTACAGATTATCTTACCCCACTCATAAGCTTATGATAAATAAAATAATTAGCTTAGATTACGGGAAATCTGTTCCAATATTGTTATTTTTTTTTTTATATATACAAACATATTAATTTCAGCTTTACAGATAAAAAATTATTTTCCTATTACACTTAGAAAATGGTAAAAGTTAGTTAATCACGGATACTTACACCTTTCGGTGCTGGGACAGCAGACAGGTAGACTGAAGCTTTTGAGCAACATTTATACAAATCAATTTTAATTATTTTGAAAATGTTACCTTCCAAACATTCAATCTTGATTTGGGAAGAATTTTTTGAAAATGTCTGCATAAATATTTTCAGAAAAAGCACACAGTAAGATCTTTGAATGGTAAAAACCAACTGCAACCACGTGCAAGTCTGTATGACCATATGTGTGGTTATTAGGTCTTCTAGATTATTAGATCTTTTTTGTATGGAAAGGTTGTAGTACGTTATAGTAAATCTATTATTACCTAGTTTCTGTAACTCGCACCGATGCACTTGGCAAGAGTAACGATAACATTCCCCTAATCATTTTTAAGATCGGATAATTTGTGGTATGCAATGTGGTAATGCGTGGTTTAGATCTGGAATCTAATTTTTATAACATTTGAAGAATCGATGGTCAGAGCTTTACTCTTATATAAATATCAAAGTATTTTGTACATTCACTAAAAGTGCTGTTAGAATTTTTTCAAAATAGGCCAGTGATGGAAAATACTTTTTCAAGCTTCGAAAGCCTACTACAGCTTCGTATGAATAAACTCCACAGGTAATTACAGTTACTTAGTGCTCTTCACTAGCCCTCCTGTGTTTAGTGTTATCTGCAGTCGCTTTCGTCATATTATAGATACGTGTTTTCCCATAGCAACGGCACTCACTGACTGTACATATAAGAGTTAATGAACACTCTGCACACCGTCATTAAACGGCGCGCGATGTACCGACTGAGTCAGCTAACTTCCTGCAATAGTCAGACGCCCTGCCGAGACAAGTGGCCGCCGCCGTCTCTTCTGATTCAATAAGCGTTGTAGTCCTTAATAGCTAAATTAGAGTTGATAGTCCCCTAGCAAATTTTCTAAAATAGCCATACAATTGCAAAATGTCAAAAAAAAATCATTCCAAAATGTAAACATTCGAACACTTAGATAATTTTTTTATTTCAACGATTGGTTTAGGTGCAAATTTTCGGTTTCTGTATACCTGTTATTTCGCAATTCAAAGTAACCCACCAGCACCACCACCTGGAGTAATATAACATAAAGACAAAATAGCAGCATCGGCTCCGTTTGTTTGTCTTTCTTGCGTTCTCTGACTGAAGTTAGAGTGCTTACGTAGTGGACAGATAATTTGTGAGCTATTCGAGGTTATTCTTGGTATCGTTTACAATGCGGTTCCCTTTGCGAGTATTTGAAAAAAATGCTCACACTATCACATATGGGCACTAGCACATATGGGTCGAACGTGCAAAACATCTTTTACTCTCTGTGACGTGCTTCCAAGTCAAGCACAGGCTCAAACCGAAGTTCTGTATGGCCTGCACTTCTGCTACCCAACGTAACTCAACCAGAGGACAATTGCGCACCTGTTTGTATGTACAACGAACGCTTTCACTGCCTTTGTGAGTTGAGAAAAGAAAGGTGCACTCATTATGGCTCTCTGGTTGTTCATTTTGCTCTGTTACTGGGTAGATAGGGTAGATTACGTTTATCAGATGATACTGAAAGCAGTCTCGACTTCAGTTTAATTAAAGGCTAAATATTATTATATTAATTAAATATAGTATAATAGGCACTTTCTGCAAAGCAATTAAAGTCTCTGTTTGATCTGTCTGTGTCTTCCCGCATTGCCAGTCAGAATGTACCACAGTACGAGCTCGTACTGTGGTACATTCTGACCCTGAATGGTACATCTAATCTCACTATATAAGCGAAGTACACTATATTTTGATGGGCCAACCTTATTTGCAAAGACAGCTTCAATTTTACCAGTATAGTCTTCGGTTATACTACAACAGTACATACATATAATCGAGTCATCAAACGACGAACTATTTACTTATCATGACTAATGCTGCGCCCTCTTTTCGCGTCACGCGATTCTGAGTATGTGGTAGTTCTCCCTGTGCCGTTCTCCCATTTATAGCATCGTCATCGTTCTCGAATCTCTTTACATAAACGAAGGAATGACTTAACGATTATGGATAAGGCCAGCTAAGTATAGCCAGTACATATAAAAGCAACATAAATATAAACGGTAGGTAATTGAGAATAAAGAAAATCTGTTCCAGTAATAGCCGTTCTGTACTAGACCTATGTAGGACAGTACGAGGTTTCAAAGATGAGGGTCTTGCAAACAAGGCTTTATAGCTGCACAGGGAGTTCGTTTAATCACGTTTGGTCATCGCTACGATCTCTTTGGGCCCTACCCATAAGGATAGCAAATGAACAAATACATAGATACATGAAATGTTAAGCAGTATTACCGTGAGCAGTTAACTAAAGGCAGACAGAGTAGTCTAGTGGTAGCAACAAATAAGCGCAAGTCATACACACAACTAGGAATCTTGACAGCATAGGTTTAGTAGTAGACAGTCTATTTGGAGAGCTTCATTTCTTACCTCCGCCATTGTCACCGCCGGCTGGTCTCAGGCCGCTTGGAAAAAAGAAAGATCAGTCATTACATCGGTCAAAATATATGTAGTGTATTATTAAGGCTTCATGTCACAAATGCATTGCGGGTTGATCACTATCAGATTAATAGAATGCCTAACACCCGGCAATCTACTTGTATCGTACTATTGTCTAACGTTCATAAAGTCACGTGACTATAATAATAATATTAGGTGTAGGAGCCTTTGCTTTTTTTTTGTTTGTTTGTTTTTTTTCCATAATCAATGCTCAATAATTGTCTAAACATGTATACATCGAATACAGCGCTCGAATCACGATAGTAAGAATCCATTACGTACAAACAAATACAAGAAATTCAACGATTGCACGTGAAATGATGGGCCGATGGAGGATGCGCCACTAAGCTAGTCTGCTATGAAAAGTATGTTACTTTTCGACAACGAAATTTTTCAAACACATTACATGTACATACCTATTGCACAGGCAACAAACATATAAGTAAATAAAACATAGGGCCTATTGCCATTTCAATTTGACGGCTCACTTTTATTTCGAAGAGTCAACAAGTATTGCACCGTTGCAACCTCCTTGAACTTCGATGTCGAAAAAAAAAATATATATATTTTCGCAGTTACGCAGCCATCTTGCTAGCATATTAAACCCTTCAATAAAGCCTGGCTTTTGAAACAAGCTAATTTCAATTGCCTGTTAAATGAAACATGTTTTGGATCGATAACTGAACCAAATGATCAATTCAAAGCATGCAATGCGTGTTTCCCTGTTACATGAACTAGTCTATCAGGTAAAAATTTTGCTATATTTTTTTCCTATTTATGAATAGAATAAAGTCATATCAAACTATATTATGGCAATAAAGGATGTAAGCCGATAATCGTTTTAGGGATAAAATCTATACGCTCTACATTTTTTTACTTAATATGAATGAATTGCTACTTTTACCCATTTAGTTGCCCATTTAGGCACAGTTAAGTATAGTAGAATATTCAAATACGTTCGCCAACTAAACACTTAAGAGTAACCGTAGAATCCACAATATCATTTTCCGTCCGCGATCAATCACCTGTCACCCCAGAAGCAGCACATATGGTCTCCTTTTGAACAACCCACGATCCACTAACGTCGGTCACATTAGGGATCTCGGTTACTCAAGAAAGCTACCTAGTGCTTCCGCGAGTCGTAATTTTTACATTCAGCTACTTACTCACTAGCCACTTATTTATTAAACGGGTATCAAATATGAACAATTTTTTCAGCCAGTTGACACTTGTGTTTTATCCTAGTGGCCTAAAAGCATTCACGCAGCAAATGCGTTTTGTATCTCAGAGTCGGCCCGAAACGAACCCTTGAGTTGTTATTGCGTATAGCAACAACTGTGCTGCGATGAAGTTTTTTTGCTATTATCTTTTGATAGACAGACATTAAATTCAAGCAAATGATTGAATTTTGTTTCATAAAATTCCCGTGCTTCTTCGTGAAGACGGTGTAGATATTTGAAATACATTTTTTGTTAGTAAGTAAGAAAATACAATGAACTGTATACTCACGCATGGTTATCAACAGCCGAAGAAAACACACTCTTTTATTAGCCATTTAACACTCGGATAATGTCATCCAAAGGCGCCGACTCCAGTTCCCGCATACAACTGCGGTGTCTATGTCAGCTCAGTGCAGACACAACCATATGAACGCTTGAATTTCAGGATCATGTCAAAATTAGCATTTCATCGTTTATAAAACTATCATACGTTGAACAGATAGTATTTACGGGAATTTTGTATACTGCCAAAATCCAGCAGACTGCACTGGCTTAGAGGTGAAACTGTTTGAACACAGACGGTGAGTTTTGAGAGGGTGAAGGATCAAATATTTGACATTTTGTTGCCGGTACGAACGGATGTGAGTTAGACACGGTTTTGTATTTTATTTCCAAGGAGATTGGCCCTCTCAACAGATGCGTTCATAGCCTGTCAGAAGTCATAGCAAGCATTTTCTCTTCGGCCAATCGAGTTCTATGTCCAGTATCGCCGCTAGGCATTCCATCAAATCGCTAGCTCCCTGCGCGAAACGAAGTGTGTCTGTGTTCGGGTTCGAGACAACAACATGTCTCTAAGATTAAGGCAATAGTAGCCTAAAAAGAACCCGACATCCAGAAATCAGATCATGGCTATTTGATAAACGTCATTATATCCAAATATATTGCCAATGATTATCCTTTGACATTTGCGGTCTTCACAGCAGCAGAGTTTCGGCAACACTTAGTTCGACCGGTTACCCTTTGCTGCTCGCGAACAATTAATTCGAATAAAACAAAAGTAAAGAATAACAGCGGTTGCAGGTTGGCGCGCGTAAAACTATATTCACCTATGCCACAGGTCAATCAACAGGGTATATAAAGAAACCCTTAATCTAGTCATGAACAAACAGAACTCACGGATGTTGGAAATGCATGCGTCAGTTCAAATTTGGCGCCAACACATTCGCTATGAGTTTGGCAAAGTTATGTGTATATATATATATATATATACATATATTTATGTATAATGTATAGAGTGATACCAGTTCTTACGTTTGACCAAAAACATTGTTCGAAGTTCAAAAATGAATTAATTTATTACGTATTTGCTTTTACTCTCTACGATTTTCTCACATCGCTCAGTACATTTATTCATTTCGTTTCTCCAGAAACTTTCAGAGTTGATGCTGAAAAGCTCGTTCAACTACTTTTTGAAGCCTTATTCATTGCTAAAAGTATTATTGCGAAATCCATTCGTCAGTGATTGGAACAATGCTAATCCATCGGCGTGAGGTAAAAAAATGTCACAGGTAAAAAATAAACTTTCCATTCAAGGCTTTGTACGTCATCAAAGCTAATAACTTTAGCCTCTTAGTCTTGGAGTATCATTGTAGCCCTGTTTATTTGATACAATTGATGTACACTTGTTTTTCTCAGGCATTCCTCAGTTTATAGGCCCTTTCCAGTCCCGTTAAGTGCAAAAAATTATTCCTGCAATCAATTTTTTTGAAAGGAGGATTTGATTCAACTCTGTGCGTAGGCATATATCCAGGAGCTGCCTATTTCTTTAGTTGTTTTATGTTGACCTGAAAGCACCATTAACTGTCACCGATAACAATTCTGTGTAAAACCAGTGCCACACAAGATGTTAAGAGAAACAGAAGCCGTGCTTTCCTCTACCTTTATTTAGTTTAACGGGCACCCAAACTTGAATTTTTTAGTAAACCCCATAGGGTTAAAATGTCTTTTAATAGACATACATGACCACAGTTCACCTTCCTTCAAGTTGTAGACCGTGTTCTCTCAAAACCCCCTTTTAGTGCTTCTCAACGACCTCGGATGGCGAACCGACACTTCCTGTTCCAAAATGCCATTATTAAATTTCGTAAACCGCTGCTGAACGGTCTTCCTAGACATGGAATCTATCTCTACTACGCATGTTACAAGTAGCCAGGGCCGTTTCGACGGTACTTTCGCCTCGAACTTGAGGTAACATGACGGTCACTGCACAATGAAATTTAAAATGGCTCCTGCAGCTGATAGAAGGAGCACTTTCGAATATTCTAAAAACAAAAGTAAACCAACAGTGGAAAGATAAGGAAAGTCATTTGAAAAAAGTTGTTCCCTATGTTCCAAATAAAACAGATCCAAACAATCGAAAGAAATGAAATAATCCACAAAAATGTTTTATAGAAAAGGGGTTCACCTTACAGAAAATCTTATCAGTCATTAAATATCTTGAGAAATTTCAGTGTTTTCGGACATAACTTGCTATCCCTTCCCCTACTTTCTGTCATATTATTAAATATTTTCAATCAAATATAAAGAGTAATGAGAGAAAAAAATACAATGGTAATAACATTTACCCGCATGCGGATATATAGATACATATCCGTAGGAGAAGAGTTGTGTTTGATATGGGTAATCATCGCTGCCATAGTCAAAGATCCTCATCGCTATCACAGTAAGTAATATATTTAGTTGTGAATTTCGGTGATAATATATAACGGTACCTTGACGCATAATTTAATTGACGTAAGCGCTCGAAAACGGCATTTTGATTACCCAATCCTTCGGTTTAAGCGAAAAAATGTACTACTTAGCTTCTGATTTATTTTAACATACATTTTTGGGACTTGGGCATTCTACCTACTACAGCACATAAAATGTTAATTTTCCATCAGCGTTTTAAAAAAGATGCATTATACAGAATTTTCTCATTAGAATGCCTGAGATGATCATACCAATTGTTGTGGTGTACCTTAGAAATGCTGTACAGCTACTAAATTTAGCGTCTGGCAGTGAAATAGTAACTACTGACACATAAAGATGGGGAAAGTTGGACGGTTATGATGGTGACCTCTAATGTTATGTTTGCTTTTTTTTTTCTTTTCTAAAAATGCATTTTTCGATAGTGCACTATGTATTTTTAGAAAAAAAAAGGTAAGGCAAAATCCTTCTTAAGCAGCTTTAAACTTTATTACCGAACCTTGTCGCTCTCTTTGTTATGCGTAATATCCCTTACTTAAATTTTATATTATTTTAAAAGTATACATAATTAAAAAAATATCACCGGTACTCTTTGACACCGTGAAACATTGATTAATCTCTCGTAGAGTTGAACTTTTTCTTATTCTAAAATCCAAATGGTCTACAAGCCTATGTGCAATCACTAAAATGTGACGCTGATTCCCAAAACCATTTTGGGAATCTTTTTGTTTTTCCAAAAAAAAAGCTCTTAGAAATGAGCAATCCATATATCGTACGAAACGTAGTCGTATTTTTGTATGTAGTACACTGACAAGAACAATAGAAATATCCACCACTCTACTTTTTGCCCAGTTTTTAAACAGCTATCCCAGTAAATACACATACACTTCCGCTAAACTAAAAAGCTTTTCTACCCGACACGATTTACGAAAGGTTACGTTACTGCTACAGAGATAATTAGTAATTACGTGCGTGCTAGCGTACGCAGGAACGGAGTAATGCGGCGTGCAGATATCTAAATTGTGCCTAACCAATTTTCTTTAATTGATCTTTAAAAAGTGGTCGTTTTAAAAATAGGGTCCCTCTGCAAATTAAACGCTGAATCGATGGTTGATTACTTTCCCATGGAAGCGTTATGGATGAAAAGACAAATACATTTTAAACTTGAATGTTGCGATAGTTTACGCGACATAAAAAAGCAGGTGCGGAATAGAAGTAATAGATTTCCGGCTGCGTGTCCAACTAGTTCAAATACGGCAAAATTGAAATATTTGTAAGACATTACAAGTATGCAATATACTCAAAACTTTAACTAATAAGCGTACTTTAGTTAATACGGAACTAAACCATATAGTCGTCAGTCGTCGAAGAGAGCTTCATGACTAATTTTAGTCAATTTTGGAGCGTCTTCATGCAGATCAGTTAAGGTTAACGTAGAAGAAATTGTCTCCATAGTAGGTCCCTTATAGATGTACAGTAGACAACAGACGATAACAATAATAATCTCACTGGTGTCGGCCGAACCCCGAAAGGCTATGCGTACACAGTGTGTCATCTAATTCAGTGGATAAACAACAATAATCATATGAACGAAAAGACCTGCTCCGGCCGTCGCTAGTATATCGGTACAAAAAGCTACGCCTTCTACTTTTCGAGAGAAACCATACAACGGAAAAGAATCTCGTCAAAAGGGTTTTCATTGGGGAGCAAATTAAGGTAATGTATCTTGTATAAGCGTTCGGGTAACGGCATGAACTCACTGTCGTAGTTCTAATATATTTGTCATGTCTCACTTCTAAGGATCCGTAAATCCAAAATCTGTTATCTCTCGATGTAAGTCAAACATAAAAAACAGTAAATATTGGATTTAGATTTGATGAACTAACACCACTTGCGTCTAAAAAAGCTCGCCGTAGGGAACATTACTGCTTCGGCATTATTTACAATATCACAGTCAGTGAGTATGTACTCGAACTTGCAAATTGACTGAAAGATGATGTTTTTTTTCTATACGCTGATGTGTGATAAGGTAGCACAAACAAACCGGGTCTATGAAACAATTACCGTAAGTACTGCCCCTCTTAATACATAAATCAGAGATCATCACACACACTTAGTCGAGACTAAAGTAATTGACGTCTTTCTCCTTCGGGTAAATAACATATCCATAAGGTGTGAAGGCCTGTCTTAGAGCTAGATTGACATCTGTACATTTCGTTACGACTAAGGACAATGCAGTTAACATCCGCTGCTGCCGCCACGATCACCTGATAGTCGCAGGACGTATCGAGATGCTGGCTCGACGACAACGACGAGACATAAGAATAGAACTTTCATATTTACTTCATAAGTAAGCAAATGAGATGTAAAAGCCATTTGTCAATATCCTAGCAGTGCTTTACGTTGACACTAGTAAAGATCGGCAAGGAATTTGCTTAATATCTATACAAGTTGGGTATAGATTTATTTTATTATATTGGGTTTAGGTCGTAGCACCCGACTGGTTAAGCAACATTAGTTGGCGATAAAGTGTCTTCACTTGATCTTTTTTGAACTAATTACTCTAATATAATAATTAGTAATCAATTTTATATGAAATACGTATTTTTATTTGAAAGGAGAATCCGTTAACTTGTTAGTGTTTGGTATACATGCTTCATTTCATTCACTACACAGGACGTCCGCCTTAAAATGGTTATGGGAACCATACGTAGTACTTAACGTTCTATTATGTAAACCCACATTTCATTAACATCGTTACGTACAGCGTTAACGAAGGAAAGAAACTACTTGCCCAACTTCTACTAAGTACTGTAATATTCAATCTGAAAGAAAATACGACAACTACGCCTTATACACGATAACGTAAACACGATCTATTATCTAATTATAGTCGACATGCTAAATAGGTAAAAAGCATACATGAGTAACATTAATCCAATACGAAGTGAAGGACTAACCTTAAATTCGCCAATTCGTTCACGTTTGCCCTACCGACCCATCATAAACAGGTACCTGAAATAAACACAGCAAAAACAACGATAAGAACGGATTTTCTATAAAATATTCGAAAAGTGAACTAAGTAGCTTCTATGCTCACTCATTTCGTGTATATGCACGCATGATTGCTAAATATCAAACCTTCGAGTCAGAGGGCTTAGTTTACATAAACCCTCGGCTATCGCGGAAAAATTCGCAGCCTAAAATCAGTAATGCGACAATGAGATTTGTCTATCTGGAAGCACGAAGACAACGAATTTTGATATTTTGACTATAAATAGGATCAATAATAATAATAATATTGTAAACAAATGTCAATACTAGGTTCGATGAACCGACAGCAAGTAAAATGCTAAACAGAAAAATATATATAAAATGGCCAAATTACGTCCGCACTCTTGCTTATGGTTCGCGCCTAAGACTGTATCGAAACAGAAACGGATATATAAATTTGCTTTATATACTGCTTAAGAGTGATTTCTAAATATGTTGTTTATTTAATATAACCACCACCTACCGCGATCATATCTTCAATACGAGACTTAAACTGCTCACAGGTTCGTTTCAAATAAATCTGCCAATAATCTATTGATAAAGGCACAAGTTAGCGAGTCGACGTTGCCGTATTGAGACCGGTTGGACTCTCACTGGATGACGCTCCAGGCACGGTAATCCAGCAGAATTTTACCTGTTCGACGGCCACAACTGCCCTTTCCGAAACAGGCGTATATTCTCAAAACAGTCAAGCCGCAATAACCGACTAATATGAGCCTGTGTTCCGTAGTTGCAAGGCGTAAAGCCTTCTACATTTTACCTTCAGACCTCTTGGCTATAAACGATTGGACAACAATTTGTAGAGCACGTAAGTTTTTTTAGTAACTCGTTCGCCTTTTTGAAGAGATCGTATGTCATCATCTCCTTAGCCGCTGTTACATTGTCCGAAAACGCGAGCGGACAGACGCTCCGGGTAGGTTGCCATGCAGATAAATGAGGACCCTAGACACAACAAGTGGCCAAATCTTAGCGGGACCTCGGATTTCACTTGCTCTGCGATGAACCAAGAACTGTACAATTCCTGCCTAACTACTACCTTTACGAATGTTTAGTCTTTTCTTGAACAAAAAAAGAACGAATATTGTTTACACTGCAACAACTTCAGCTTAACATTTTTTGTTCCAAATAATCAATTAGATTGCTCAGGCCACGCAAGTGAATAAAGATCTTGTTTTTTAAAGATAACATAGCTAGCAGAGCTTCAAATTTCTATAAGGCTATCTCCAATGATACCGTCTGTATGTTTTCTTTTATAGAACATGCTGCTTCTAGACAATACATCTTGATGTTTTCTTTTTAACGTAGGCTTTTGTTGCATCAACCAGGACTGGCAATCACGTCGTTCAGGTGAACTCTTCATGACCATCGAAAAAAAAGCACACGAAAACAATTAGCAGTAAAGTGAATGAAGCCTACAAGTTAGAAACACCAACCTGTTATACATCAACTAGCTCATTCTAGGTCTTGAAACGTTAATTTTATGACAAGAGCGCAGCGATTCATGAGAAAAGATAGGTTTATAGGTTGTTTTCGATCAAAATGCAATGAACGCTCTACAAGCACACAATATATATGATTATCAAATGTTTTTTTAGTTTAGCTTAACTAAGAGAGTCACAAATTTAGTGCTCAGTGAAAATATAGTATCCAAAAATGTCAACGCTTTTTATCTGACTCAGATATCACATGTACTAATGTATCTATCACCTAAGTCCTAATAATAAGCTTGGTTTTGTTTTGCATGACATCAAAGATGATGAATCCGATTCAGACTTCGAAGATAGACATCAAGATATTGAAATGCATACTAAGAAACACAGATTAAGTGACTTACGGCTTTCAGGAAGAAGAATTCCTACTAGTAAACTTTACGAAGGGCTTAAGTATGATATGAAACAACCGCCTTGATTACAAGATGCCTATATATGTTCATTGAAGTATCAAACGTTTCTAATAAAAGAGCGATCAACATAAACTGAACTAACACTACTAAGCTTTTGTTTTTCTAACAGCAGAGAATTATCAACATCAATTGCGCATAGAAACGTACTACTTGATATCACTTGCGTGCAATATGACCTCGGCAAAGATTAACTTCTTGAGGAGGCCAGGTAGGCCTTGTAGGGCTTTTGGGGGTGGGAGCACTGAGAAATCCATTTACAATATTCTACAAATTCCTATTGTTTAAGAACGAAGTAAGACAATCTGCTCCGGTGTACTGAATATATCCCAGAAATAAACCTTTCTTATCCCGGGCTTTTTGTTGAGGATTCAGTATTTCATAAGGCCGTAAGTTGCAGCATTATCATGCTAGATCAATGGAATCTTTGATGATAGGTTGATTAGAAATTAAGATGTTTTGTAAGCAGAGAAAAAAAACACTATACATATGTTTACCCACATGCAACTTATGTGGATAAACCAAAACGGAAATTCTTGAATAGAAGAAATTCATAGCTATATTGATTTGGCTGGGTAGCTATTGTATGTAGACCACAAAGGAATACTGCGTATTCTCGTACCATCCAGTCTTTTTCTTAACTTAGCCAACGTACATCCATTAAGAGAGATTCGACAAACTCTATTTCTGGAACCCATTCGGGATCTTTCACCTTTCCTCAACAAATAATGAAATCGCTAAAAAGTAAACACTTTAAGTGTGTTCGAGTTACGATGTTTTGTTTCGAGAATATATTAGCTATTCCGTATTTATTATTACGCGATTTAATACAGATCAAAAATGCAACATTAGCACGTATTGTACTCATAAACTAAATAGGCTCAATTCGTAAGGCATAATAAAGCAACAAAAAAAAAATCCGGAATAGTTCGTAGCAGCTTTGTTTACATCTGTGCAATACAGTCACTATGGAAATGACATAAAAACAATCAAATTCAATTTATCCAGGATACAATTACTGGATCTGTTTTGTTTTTTAGAACATTTAAAAGAGAGAACCAAATTAACATCTAGCCTGTGTATCCCCAGCGATCCTACTAACTGTACCAACAATTTTATATAGTTGATGTTTTTCTAGGTGTCCGACTCAGCAGAACAAATGTAGTAGTCTAGTATAAATGCTATTAGCGTATAATATTAAGCTGCGACAAGGAAATCCGGCGGATTTTTTAATTGGACGACCATTACATTAATTAGTTTCTTCTCGCATGTTTCAGTGCTTCTGGACAAGTTACCTAAATAAAGTACTAAGCATTACTTCAAACTAATGGCTCCCGTCCTCTACGTGTCTACCACTAGATTCAAACCTATAGCCAAAATTTAGCTAACAAATACATTACCCGCTACTCGGCTATGACGACTGTACCTATATACTATATAGCTAGCATATGCCTATAGTGTCCGCTCTCATGATTCATTGAAGTAAATCTGCGGCAGGGTATGGTAAAGTGCCGACTTAGATCGGGGTGAAAGGTGGCAGGTTGAATACTCTCCAGGAAGTACCTGAGGGATGGCGACGCGGTCTGCATACTTTCTCTTGCTGTATCAATGGTCCACGCATGACTTGAGATAACGTTATACAGTAATCACCTAATCTAAGTAACAACTTTTGATTGCTTTGATGCTCAACAATGATACTATTAATACCCGAACCCACTGTCACCGAGCTCAATTTCTTTCGCCAATGTATAAAGAGTGGACAATATTTCGTCTGTGGCGCTCGTTTACTTACGTAAGTGGGTTTTTGCTGATTAAAATTCCGCAAATTTCACGTAAAATACGCCGTACTCATTTCCAACTTGTCTGGTATCGATGTACAAAGGATCCATTTTTCATTTAGTTTCCGCATTTTCAGTACTGAGATTATAACTTGGTAATGCACTACATGTGAAATGCCAATTTTGGCCGACAAAGCCCCTAGACTTCAAGCCCTGCTTTCGGGAAAAGTTTTTTCGATTACGGTGACACGTTCTTGTCTTTCGGGTCCCGACATCTGGTTGCCTCTGCGCTACCTTCCGGTATTCCAATCTCCATTTTTAAAACGTTCGCACCACCCACTTACTGTGCTACCGTTCAAAACCTTTCTCTCCAATATCTTCACCGATCGTCGATTAATTTTCGCGGCAGGAATCCTAAATTGATATCTTCCCGAGTAAACTCAACTTGTTGGTTCTCACTGGCTAATTTCTAGAGACCTGAGTGATCTACCAAGCAATTTCGATTGTGCCTTAAAAATGATTTAATTTCAAATCCCTTCATAAGAGCCTAACAATAAATGTGATTTTAAAAAGATATATAATATTAATCAATAATTAATAACATAGTAACCTCTGTCATACAGTATCTCACTGACATCTCAAATGAACTTTTTAATATATATGTACACCATGAATTGCAACTATTGGCTATATACAACTCACAAAGCACTTTTGGTTGTTAGAGAACCAAGAATTGTCGAGCCACCTGGAATGATTTTTTTTTTCTTAACTTCTCAAGAAGAACCTTGAGGGATGCAAGGTTATAACATAGCAGTAATTAGCTTAAACGCAAGTAATAAACATTGCTGGATAATTGAAAACATTTTGTTTCCATGTTGATTTATGAATCAGTAACATATTGTAACTATCGCCTGAATTAAGCTTTCAGAATGATACGAAGCTATGCCGGTAATAAAGCAAAAAATTAGAGGATAGATAAAATGTTGAAAGCAATGCCATATCTCTGTAGCTGTAGAATACGCATCTGTCGGACTGTTCCTAGGCCGATCGTTTTCATGCTATCATTTTACGTCATGTGATAGATTCATTGCGGCCAAATAACTTAGTAGAGACAAATAAAGGCAGGGATAGATCTACGAAGAGAACAAGTTTCATTAGAAAAAGCGTAGATAAACAGCTACACAACGTGGCTGAGAATGACAAACCTTTAAAAAAACAGAGATAATAACAACTTTCGATCACCAATGACTTTCTATTATAGAAATTTATCTTTTCCTTATAACTGTTCAAAAATATCATTGTAACTATATTTATGTGTTGATTAAGTTTGATTTGTACACATTAGTGTTTCACAGTAGAAATGAAAAACTTATTAAAAACGATTATGCATCAAAATCTAACAACAAAACCGATCTTTGGAAATTTTATCATAGAAAATAGTAGATAGACTAATACACATCATAACCAATGAAGTTGTGGATATCACTTCTCTACCGTTATAAGATGAACAGTGATTTTATAAAACTGTTATCATTATACTGCAGGACACCGTCACTGCAAGAACTAAGTTTAAATCTCGTCAGCTGCCTGATTAATATAATGTAGCGCGCGGTCGTAAATCACAACGACGCAACTCAGTACAACACCAGACTCGGTATTACCAGTGACTCCATTCTGCAAAAGTAGTTTTAGAACCAAGCGTCTAGTGTTCTAGTGAAATAACATACACAAGAACGTCGTATCCATAAAAGTTGCCACGTCTGACGCTATGAGAGGATTTGTCTTCGCACCCTAAGCGATAATAATTCGCGAGCTTCCTGCTTTTGTCAAAATGGTTCGGGTTTTACGTCTGGTACTGGCGCCATTGAGCATTGCCTCACACGGCCCAACGTGAAACGAATACCCGGATAAAACCTAGACCACTACGTGACCCTAAGATTTGCCGGCAGACGCACCATCACGGGGACTATGCCTAGGGTGCGCTACTTTTGTCTTAGCAAACAGAAGGAAGTTCTGCAACAACTTCCTTTTTTGCCACCAAGGTTACCTACTGCAAATAATTAGGAATATTTGCAAAAACTCAGACATAGTTTAGTCGACGTTATATAGACTGATGTTTTTTAAACGTGTGCAGCCAGATAAAATTTGCTTTGCATTGCTAAATCAACTGACTAACTAACCGTCGTGATGGCCAAATTGCGCTTTCCAGCATACTATCCCAAAGGTATCCGCTATTTTCTTCGGGGACATCCGAACAATATCAAAGCAGTCTCGTTCGAGCGGGAAAGGATGAAATCATAAAAGCCAGCTAGGTCATGGTTGTCAGCATTATCCTTCTTTAAGCCTGTAGAACTAGCCCCGAAAACGCCGCGCTGGTAACATTTCCCTATTGGTCCCTTTAGACGTTAATGCTTCCTATATATATATATTCGCATGAAGCACGTTAAATTAAAGCAAGAAGCTATATAACGAAAATAATGATAAAAATAGAATTATATAATTTTATTTAAGATATACAATGTTAGTCCTCTTAGCATCCGAATTTTATATAATAAATCTCCCTACATATAAGTAACTCGCTCTGAAATAGGTTTGCATTTTTAGCGCTACGTTGCATTATACCTTCCATTTACTTACCAGATGCGTCGCCAATGTCTGAGAGTTGTAGTTGACGTTTTAATCCATTATATAAAGTATTCTTATATGCGTTAAACGACTCAGGTTACGGTCACCATCATTCATTAAAAATGTGGTTACTAATTAAAAATTAGGACCAAAAAATACTACTGCACTCGTAAAAACACTCGACAGACACCATGTGTGACATTCTTTTCTAAGGACGGGTCCAATTCCAAAAAATATATATTTTTTTGAAATTGTATGTACATATATATATATATATATATATATATATATATATATATATATGTACAGGGTTTTCGGTTTACAGTCAGACTGTTTGTCATAGCAGTAAACATCTGTCCATCCGTTATTTCTGCTGGCAAAAAGCCTGTTTCACCTAAAACGAAACCGCAGACTCATCATAATGGGAAAGGTGTGCCGCTCGCGTATTGAACGAAGATCAGCTGTCATTCAATCTCTTTACGTGGGACGAACCACCCATCAACATAAACTTGATTTTTTGCCCGAAATTTATAGTCTACGTTATTGATAGTTTCTATAAAGCTGCAGGAAAATCTGCAGAGCTTTGT